CACCTTTCGTTGGAAAGGCTTTAGGCAAGGCCGTAGAGCTTCGAAAATACTTCCATAGAAGGGAATCGTATGCGTAGATTTCGAATTTCCACAAATCAGACCTCGCTGACACGTCAAATTTGTCGAAATTCGGAATCTACGCATACGATTCCCTTCTATGGAAATATTTTCGAAGCTCTACGGCCTTGCCTAAGGCCTTTTCCAGCAAAAAAAAGGTGCGCAAATGTCCAGGTGCGCAAAAAAAAGGTCGCATTTGTCCCACCCCCCAAAAATCTATCTAATCTAATAGTAAGATAAACAAAGTTTTAATTGTTTTATGGTATTTAAGTGAAGGTTGATCATTCATTAGATTATTGGAATAATGGGCAAAGAGACAAAAAGAGATTCTTTTTCTTATTCTTGATTCTTGTCCATCAATATATTGTACCATACTAAAATGAAAGGTAAATATCCCATTTTTTCATTTAAATCAAAGAATCGAATGAACCAGAAAGGGTGTGTTTATCTTTTTCAAAGCACAAAGTGCACCCGATTCTTACCAACAGGAAATTTAAAGCGTTTTTTTTTGTTCTTATTAAACATAATGTATCGTTTAAATAAAGGGAAATCTTTTTAAATTTAAATTTAATAATATTTAAATGAAGATCAATCTCCTTACCTGTATTATTTGAGATCTTTGATGTTAACACTCGATGATGTTTTTGAAGGAATCGGCTATCCATAGCCTTCCCCCCTCCGCCTTCTCTCCCAATTGATTGCATTCGAACCGATGAGAAAGCCTGTAAACATTTGCTTTTAAAATATAGTTATTTTTTTTCTAATTAAAAATATTTCTTTTCCCTTTTCTTCAGTTTAATAAACCACCTGCAAATCGGCGTCTGACGCGAGAAAGCGACACCCGAAAAGATGGCGAAGAGAAGTGCGGAAACGTCTGAATCAATCAATTTTTCAATACCCAACAAATGATACTCAATCATTTCACGTTAATAACTACTTCAGGTTAATAAATAAACAATACTCAAGCACAACTCCTAAGCCCTAAATGTATGGAAAAAAGAACCAATAATCTAGCCAGCGGGATTGAACCCTTGAACTCTCGACTAAGATATCGCTCTTAGCCAGTCGGCTATGGGGGTTAAACCTAGCTGCAACCCGGTTCTAGTATTTGAGCCTGATAACCTTGGTTTACCTTTGGACAGCTTTATTATCTAGTTTATCTAGTTTTAAAGTCATAAATCTATGTTATTCGTTGTTCGTATGATATGATAAATTATTATCAAATCACCTGGACATCAACATGTAAACACCGAAAGTGATCGGATGAACCGTCATTATCATGAGGTTATTGATCAAAACGATCAAATAGGGATGATCCGAGAAGTCGAGTTGACCATCGAGGCTCGGAATGAAATAACTGAGCTGAAGATTGGGGGATAAACTAGTCGATAAATATATGAATTTAAACCTTTCTTAGAAGGAGAAGAAGAGTGATGGGTAAACGAGCCAATAAAAACAAAGAAATCACAACGGCTAGCATCATTGTTGTGTGAGTGGATGCACGAGGACCGCGACGATGACGGCCAGAGATTTTACTGAAAATCACTCTTTTTATCTTAAGCTTTATGTGAAAAACATAAAATATTCAGCCGATTGATTTTGAGTTTTACATTACAGTATCCCTTCTCATACCGTAACCGAGACGAGTCGGCGATTCGAATAGTTCTGATGAGGAGAATGGTGATGACGAAAAGAATCGATGACGGGATTATATTCAGACACAATCTAGGAGTATTGTATATTGATATAGAAGAAATGATTCGATACTTGAGCAGATCTAAGATCATTGCAAAACGATCCGGTCCAATTCGCATCGCCAATTCCGTATGAGCCACATAGCAATGCGCGGTGCACTCATAGCTTGCTGTCTTTTGCGGATTTGGGGTTGGGATTAGCCAACAATGGTGAATGATCGTGCGGGTATCCGCCAAATAGAAGAGTGCTGTTGGGAAGAGGGCAAAGATCAGGATGAATCTGGGATTAAGCTCAGATTGCAGACCAAGAAGGGATTTATTTTCAAGCTCTAGACTTGATAGACAAATCTTTTTTCTGTACCTTGCCCATCGATGAACTACTCGAATCGAGCACCATCTCGAGCATTCGAGCGGGTAAAGAACGGCAATGAATCTGAAATCAGATTGTGACTCTTGAATAAAGTGCTTTAAAAGCGGCATACGAAAGCTAAGCTTATATTTTACTTTTACATTAGCTTTTCCATCTTACACTTACGGTATTACGGTAGGAGATACGGTAAGCTACCGTACTTTCAGCAAATCAACAGTTAAAACAAGATTGTGTTTATCTTTGACTAAAGTGCTCGAAAAGTGGGGCACGGTAGCTAGCATTTAAAAAAGTAGTACAGTAGCTTACAGTTACGGTATTACGGTAGTTACCGTATTACTTTTCTAAATGCAATTCAGCGAATGAGCAAAGAAAGACAATCGTCTGGGTTTTCGAGGTTAAACTTCTGATCTACTTGTTTTCTCATTTTTTCATCTTTGAAAGACTATTCTCAGTGATTGAACGGTTTAGGCTTATCACAAAGGAAAGATGGCACCATCCCATAAAAAATAACTAGAGAAATCACCTCTGAATTCCGAGAAGAAGAGTGAAGAATGTAGTGAGGCTGTTGAAGAAAAAAAGGCAGCATTTGCATGCAGATCTGGAATTAGGAAAGGGATTCAAGCAGATTATTGTTTAGATTTAAATATTCAGTAATTCAATAAGTTAAGCAAACCTTTTCGAGATGACACAGAGCGATATGCTCGATTCTCTCATTCGGATCCCCTAGATGATAATAGTAGATAATGAATGGAAGTGGAGAAGCGGCGATTAGACAAGATGACACAGCCAGCCATTCTAATGGGCCGACGGTTGGAGATTTCTGAAAAAAGTTTCGGTCATTGATGGCACAAGTTTCGATACTTTCATTGTCTCAACTAATTTTAGTTTTTAAATCGTAAGACTTTTCAAGTCTTATGAACTAAATCAAAGTCAAAGTTGCCTAGTAACGAAATTGACATAAGATTATCTAATCGTTTAGATATTTCCCTTGATTAAAGCATTTTCTAAAACGTTTCATCTTTCAAAAAGTATCGTAATACTTCTAGTTTTTCACTTTTCTAGTTCAGTTTTCATTTTCTAGTTCAGTTTTTTTCAGTTTTCTTCTAGTTTTCATTCTATCTATCCTTTATATCTTTCGATATTATATTTTTATATCTTTATATCCTTTAAACAAAAAGTATCGAATAAAAACTAGATGCAAAAGTTAACACTTTTTTAGAAAAAACATAACTTAGAGGAATTAACTTATTAGGAATTGATAATCAATTTTAAAAAGCATCTTTCTGCAGTAACCGACCCGATTCTGTTGTCGAAGCACGGCAATGACCGCTCCATTCATGATGAGAACGAGGACAGAGAGAAGCGGGAAGACGATTCCATGTAAGACCTTTAAAAGAAAAGATATTCAATTGCTATTGATGGATCTACCTTGATAACAGGATCGATGAGTTGTGGTTCAAATTGAAAGAATGTGCCCGGAACACAGGAATTTGTATATGGATCGAAGAAATGATATTGCTCACAAGGTCTCATTCTCATTGAATTCGTTTGATTTAGAAACGTCTAAATTTCTTTGATAACAGCTCATGTTTATATGACACAATGTGGTTTGAAAGGATGTATATTTTGCAGCAGAGTTTAGGGCAAAAATTGATGTCAAGGATTTAGGCATAGTGGCGGCAAGGAAATTCCGATTTTAAGAGCTGAAGAAAACTTTAGGCACTTAAGACTTCTATTATGATATGGAGAATTGACTAAATGATGACTAAATGATGACTAAATGATGATTTCAATTGAATTGAAATTGATGAATTGAAAAAATCTACCCTTTGAGCAACACCCCACCACTCACATCAACCATTTCAAGAATAAAACACAAAAAATTACACGTTGATACGTTTATTTAACCAACGAAATGATTACTTTTGACGGTGAATATTTTCTTTTCTTTTTCTTGGAGGAGAAAGCCCACGCATTTCTCCTCCAAGAAAAACCATTTCCGCACATCCAAATCACCTGTTTGACATTTTCACCGTTTTTTAATTACAAAAATACAAGATTCGATAAAATTTTGTGTTAAATAGGGAAAAGAAATGGAAAAGAAGTGCAATATGAGATGATAATGATTGTGGTTTTCGAGAGAGGCTTTTCAGGCAACTTTATAGGTTAATTAAAAAGAGAAAGAGGGAAAAGTGGATGATGAGGTCCATTCTAGAGAAGAAGAGCACTTAAAATCGAATCGACTGTCATCGATTTGGGCACTTTGCTTTTTAGTACAATTTTGCTATAAAGAGAATTTTAATTCAGGTGTTGCAATGTAGATTTGAATAATATGCACATAAGAAACTGAATACTATACTTGTCCAAGAGCCAGCTCTTCGATTTTTCAACTTCCTCCCAAAATTCCTTTTCACGCCCTAGCTACAGTAAACCACAGTACCCCAAAGCTCTAGTACCCAAAGGTTATAGTTTATTAAGGTACGTTACAGTCCCTGTGTTTATTATGTTTTTTCATTGGGTACAAAGTTACAGTACCCAATGAAAAGCATAGCCAATTCGCAAATATCATAGCTAATTAATTAAATTAGAATCCTTTAGAAATCTGTGACATTTATAAAACACTTGGACCAACTTTAGTCCTCAAAAAATTGCAACCACTTTACGAATTTTCCTTTTTTTTGTTCTGTAGTTGCCATCCAAGAGCAAACTTCCTCAACTCCATTTGTAATTTGAAAGCAAAAGTGATTTTCCTTTCCTTTGAATTTCTGTATCTCTAGAAAACAGGTGATTTTTGAATGTTGAGAAGAAAATCACATAGGGAATTCACAAAATGGAAAACGTTTATTGAAAGAAAATATATTTGCCCAATGATTCTTTTACGGGGTTTTCTTCGGCACCCACACATCGCAATGTTTCTCCGGGGAATATGTGGCACCAACGGGACAATTGAAAGCCGATCGGAAAGCCGGGAAATTCTGGATTGCACCGAACACACGGTAGTTGGCCGGGGAATGGGGATCGACCATGATCTGACGGAAATATTGATCCGGTGTCTCGTCCATTTGACACCAAACCTGAAAGCTTTCATAAAATAAAAATGGGGATGATAGGTCTAAGGCTGACTTCTGGCTAACCCATCTACTGAAAATTGGTGCTGGAACCTCCTGGGGTGCTTGCTAAAGATATCTTTAACTAGGCAATTGAGTTGTAAGTCACAATTCTATCACTACAATAATTGCAATAAGTTTATCTTTGTCTTCTCAACATTGTTCATTTTGAAAATCCCATTTTTTCACTAAATAACCTGGCCGAAATTGAGGAAAAAGAGTTGATCGTGACTGAATTGTCCCAAGACTCTTTCATTCAATTGTGCATCGGGTCCATTCAAATTCTTGTGTACTTGATAGGCGCGGAAAGCCGAATGGATACCTTTAAATTGGATTGTTAATTTAGCTAAATTTCACATTCAAAACCTCCATTGTCAGCAATATTTTCTCCTTGCGTGTTTTCTCCATTCAAACATTGCGGAGTGTAGTTGGTTCCCTTGAGTGGACAGAATGAGCTGTACTCTGAAAAGAAAAAACAAATTTTTCTATCGTAATCGAATAGTAAACTTTCTCTTTGAGTACAATAGTTTTTGATGACTTTTAGAAAAGGGATTTTTCATCTCCATCACCCACCATCAATGATACACTTTGCCATATCATCGAATCCCTTTTTGCTCCCATCGGTCATCCACGGGTTCAATGCTCCAACTCCATTCCATTGCACACCTTGATCATCAAATCCGTGTGTCAACTCGTGTCCTGGAATTGGTTTTCTCTAAAGTCCTTCTTTTTCTCAATTACCAGCCACAAGACCCATTCCACCGTAATTCAAGGACGCTGGCCATTCTGGATGGAAGAAAGGAGGACGGAGGATACCTGAGAGAAAAGTGTATTCAGATCGATATCAATTTTGTTTAAGCTTTGTATCAACTTTTAAATTCCTATAGTACGCAATTAGCACTACTCCTGACCGGGAATTGTTAATGTTAATTTTGTTTAGCACTACTCCTGATTGATACAATAGTATGAGCCAAACAAATACCGGCGGGGAAAGTGATGCTGTTCAGCTCGGGCTGGTACCAGGCATTAACAATTCCCGGTTGTCCCAGGAAGTCGGTTCGATCAGTCGACGTGGCAGTGAGTTGATTGTACTGTGTCCAGAGATTGAAGCTAAAACATAATTAATTCAAATTTTCTCTTAATATCTACTCACACAGTCAACTTGTCGAGAATCGTGTAATACGTGTCATCTCCAGTGAGCATCAAGTTCTTGTAGAAATCGTCGAGTTTCCCGTTATCAGTGATCCAATCCGGGAATGCCACGTTCTTTTCTAGACCCTTACTGTGGATAGTAGCTTCAATGCCCTTCTCGGCCACAGCCCTGATCATCCGATGTTGTGCCAGAAACGAACCTAAACAAGTGAAAATAGGATGAATAAGGGCGCTAGATTCAAGCCTGCCGACTTTTTTCGAGTGCAGCACAAAGAATTGCTGCCTCATAACAATCTTTCTCAGCTGTGTGCTGGTTTTTGCACGCAATTTCGGCACTTTCTACGTTGTCTTTCATCGACGAGACCAGCCCAGCCTCAGTCATTGAAAGCTTCCATAGCCTCGATCACCTTGGAGCACTCAGAAGCCATGGAGATTTGCTTGAAACTCAGGAAGTGCCATTACTTAAGCTGTGGATATCGTTACCATGAAAACTGTGGTAAATGACTCCTTCCTCCTTCCTATTCACAGTCAAATGTCGCTTTTTTACAAATTGCTTGAACGCCTTTGCCGATTCCTCTGAAGCTTAGCATTTTTTCAAACAAATGGTTGCCCACCTTGAGCTTGGTGTGAAGGACTGGTGGAATTACCATGTTTGTTGGCACTGGATACATCCTCCTTTTGGGGACTAGCTTCAAAGTTGCACCTATATCCTCCGCAAAGCCTTGCTCTTGCGGGTGCTTTACGAAATCGATCGAATCTCATTGTCTTTGTTCTTGCTCTTTGTCGAACTCTTTCGAACACCAAAGACAGCTGAATCGTATCCCATTTCCAAGGCCAGCATTTGTTGTCAAAAATAATAAGTCTTTCCCAAGTAAGACTTCTCAGAACATCTTCTGTCAATTGCTCATAATAGTCAGCCACATTTCTTTCTTGCAATTTCTGAGTAATTATCCGGCCTTTCCCATACGATCACTTGGAGAAAGTTAAAACCGAACACGGCCTTGATATGGATATGAGACTGGATATGAGACTGCAGCCCTGACTCGATTCATGGCCTCTATCAAGAGAGAACACCACGATTGTCTTTCGATCTGAGTCCAACTTCCTTCAAGCGCTTTTCCTGTTCCACCAGCACCCTTCCACGTTCAAGAGGCAGGGGCGTATGCTTTCTTTGGGTTCGCTGTCGTCTTTTTCGTTTTCATTATCGTCGTGAATTACGTATTCCACAATTTCTTCAAGCTTTTTCCGACATGAGCGTAACTGTCTGCTAGATCCAATGGGGTAATCACAAGCCTTCCGCACAAACGTGTTGATTCCTAGGAAAACTATGGTCTGAGACCCCTGCTTTTCGTCTGAGTGCTAACGCCTTTTCGGGAGAAGCTGATCGCCTTGGTGTTGCTGGTACGGACTGACTGCTTTATGAATTGGTCACTTGTTTCTTCAGTTGTGTCACTAAGACAGCGTTTTGTCTCGCTTTCTCCTGTGATTTCTTTCGTCGGCTTTTTCAGCTCGTCGTTGGCGCGCGTACTTCCAAATGCCGTACTTGATCAAAGGGCTGGCTTACAGCAGCGCGTTTCTTCAAGACTTTCTTCACAGGCCTGGCTTGGAATAGCCTTTGAGTTCCACCGTTGACTGGAGCTCGGTATCTTGAGGTTTGCGAGGATGACCACCTTGGATATTACGTCTCCTTGAAAGCACCTTCTTCTGTTGGCTCGAGCCATCTGGAAAATTGTTTCATAATAAGGTTTTATAATATATGAATATACAGTACATAGAATAAATAAATGCAGGCATACAATAAATTGTGTTTCTTTTCACATTCATGATTTGATTGTGTTCCTCAAGAAACAGTGTGAAATACAGAAACGATTCAGGTCAGTCAATCAACTGAATATCATGAATAACTTCTACAATTTCCAAGATATTCAGTTTATTTTAAAATGCAATTTTTCTGCTCTCTATTTTGCACTATTTCTTGGAGGAACACACTTCATTCATGGCGAAGCCTCGACTCTTATCTGGCAGATCATGTAAATTCTCTCACGGAATTGTCTGTATAAAAAACTATTTTAGGAAAAAAGGTTTTTTGTTTTTAATATAGATCCAGAATAACAAATACCTAGGAACTCAATTTTGCTTCTGGTGTCCTAAAATGGGCACTCTTCCTATATTTGTCTAAAAGTGACGCCGGGAAAACCTCAGAACTCATCGCAAACAAAATGCAGTGAAATGGCAAGGGTATCGTTAGAAAGAGTAAAACCAGGGCGATAACTTGTAATTGTTTGGCACGTTCCCAGGGAGTGAATATGAGAAAATCGGAAAATCGAAATTTCGACAAATTCTCTAACATTTTGTTCGTAAAACTTTACGCCGTAATAACTTTCTGTGAGTAGGGGGATTTTTCCTCAAACTTTGGATTTTTCTTTGTCTGGACAACAACTAAGAATTTCCGAATTGGGATTTTTGATTTTAAGTCAAAAGTGTTTTCCCATAGTAGTGATGTGTGTGATAGGTATAAGGCTGACTTCATGGCTGATTCATTTACTGTAAATCGGTGCTGGAACCTCCTGGGGTGCTTGCATAGAGATATCTTCAACTAAGCAATTCGGAGTTGTAAGTCACAATCCTATCACTGCAATTGCAATAAGTTCTGCAAAGTGGTGCTCTAGTGAAATGGGACTATGGATGGTACACTTCTACCGATTCCTTTTAGTAAGAACTCCTTACTCGACATTTTCTCGATAGCGATATTTTCCCCTGCGTGTTTTCTCCATTCAAACATTGTGGAGTGTAGTTGGTTCCTTTGAGTGCACAGAATTATATCGAGGTTTCTAACGAATTCACCATCCAAACAACGTAAAACAATCAATTATTATAGCAAACAGTTTAACAAAAAGTCAACAAAAAGAATCAAAATTTAAGGCTCTTTTAAAAAAAAAATCATCGAAAATAGTCCAAGCATTGTAAATTTTTGAGTCGCTATCATTTTGGTGTATTTCCTAAGCGTTTAAAAACATCGATGGGCGTAGGACTGAGAAATTGTCTCTTCTTCCACCACTTCCTCTGTTTCACTTTCATCCGAGGATTGGGGCAAATCGTCAAAAGAATTCTTGTAGAGCCAAGATCCCCGCCAAGGTCATCATTCCTGTAGCTGCAACTGACTCTTCAGTAAAAAAGAAAGTATCCGCATCATGCAAAGCCATCCAAATCTCCATAATCGACCACCTGACCTCATGCAAGTTAGTCACTCTTTCCTTGCACAACTTGGTACATGGGTCGCCTCCGAATATCATTCTACTGTTGAGTGTAAGCCTCTAAAAGAGAGCAGTCTCATCAAGATTGAAAATGTCTTTCACGTCGAAATCCTGCAAAAGTCCCTTGCAAAACTTTGTTCTTCTAATCCTCGACGGTATCGCTGTCGATATCAGCCGCTCCTTGCAGAGTTACAAAAACCGACACAGGAGCAAAAACGTTAGTTACACCCTTTACGGATGTGATCCAGAAAATGTTAAAAGGACGAAAATGTAAATCCAATAAAATTCTTTAGAGAAATTTGAATTGGAATAAATTTGAAAATATTGCCGTAAATCCTCTATTAGAGCGGCACCTCATAATGCCAATTTTGACAGCTCCCAGATGCAACTTTTTCCAAAAAATTTTCTTGAAAGTGCTTGAAATGATGCATACAGGTCCCAATTATAATTTATAAATCATGGTAGTAAAATTAAAATCGATTCGATCATTTTTTCAACAATGTGGTACCCCCTTATGTGATATTTTTTTGGGGATCCGTAAATGGACATCGAAAAATAGAGCGGCATGTCGCTCTAATAGAGGATTTACGGTATTTAGATAAGTAAATGAAAACTACGGTAATTTAGCCACAAAATAGACAAAATCCTTATATCAAGTCGAAGTTTCCAAAATTTTGGTCAAAAATGGTTATATCGAGGGTTTATTTAAGGCATTTATGAGGGCGGATGGCCGGGATCGGACATACGAATCGTTATATCGTCATAACGAGAGTCGTTATATCGAGAGTCGACTGTAAATCATGCTAAAGGAAATTTGAAATAAAATAAAAGACATGAAAGGGCAATTGGTTGAACTAAAATTTTGACAAACTCACTTGAAATTCCCCGTTAAAAACTACCATTTGGTGACAATTTTTGGCAAAAAAAAACATTAAACTAAACAAACTCTAGCTGGACTTGATGTAAAATCAAAATTTTAGTTAGACAAGAAAATTAGCATAGGTCTTTTGTAATTTTTCGTTAGTTGAATATTTTGCAATTTTTCAGGAAACAAAAACCGATTAGATTCGATTTAAACGGGAATTTTTTAATTGGTTTTGAAATCGATTAATATTCGATTTAAAACCTAAATCGATTGATTCGGTTTTGCCTCAGAACCTAACCGCAGTGCTATTGTGGAATGAATTTCTCTTGAGGTCCTTACCTTTAAAGCTTTCTATCAATCTCCTACCGATTAGCCGATTTCTCGAACTGCATATTCCATTGGCTTAAAGTTTGAAGACTAAAATTTTGATGACCCTGACTCTTAGAAAGGTCCTAAAGTATTCTTGCTTAGATAGCATCAGCATCGCGATCTTCTCAGAATTTCCTTTCGAGTATCTAGAAATAGCTATCTTTCATTTTATCACTCGTTTTCTTCATTATTTTCTCTATTCCATCGGGATCAGCTCAAAATATGTATCTCATCTTTCAGACCATGCGACTCAACTCACAAGTGCCAGTTGTCACAAGTTGTCAGTGCCGATATTTCCTGCTCGCTCGTCGACTTTGCTCCTCGTCGACGCATTCACCGTGATTCCCTACATTCAGATCGATTTCGCCCATTATTTTCGTTTGGCTCAATGTCAGGCGAAATGCTCCGAAAAGGTTGGAATCTTTTTTACTCATTAAATCAACAAATCCTACAGTTTGGGGGCTCTCCTCTGAAGAAAACCCTGTACGACGGCTTGATTCAAGAGTATTTCAACGTCTCCTCAGACGATGCTCAATTTGTTGGTTTCAGAAAGAAATGATGAGAACATTCATTGAGAATCAAAGAACATTCATTCAGTGTGAGATGGGCTGTCAGCAAAATCAAAGGAGCAAAAGTTGACAAGAAACGCGCTCTTCAAAGCGTTCGCTTTGGGGCGGATCCGCTGCGAATTCTTGTGAGTTCAACGGAAAATGGGAGTTCTTGCTGGAAATAGTGAAATAAGGAAACGGCTTTTGGTCTTTGAGAATTCTAGTTAAGAACTTAACAAGAAGATTCTAAATTCAAAGTACTCCTTACGCATAAGAATATGATAAGCTTGATGTATCTTAAATGTTTAGAGATTTAGCTATCATCTCTTTGGTTGGTCAAACACTGAAAACACTCAGACCAACTTTTACAGGAAGACTCGGTCTTGTCCTGAAGAGAGAAGCATCTGCCCCAACTCGATACACCAATGTCTCAAACTACTACCCATTGATTTCTCGGCACACGGTCGATGCTCCCTCGAAATGCTTTTATCGCAAAGTTAGCCCGATCAAGGTTGGCGCTTGATTACAGCCAATTCGTTGATTTGTGGACAAAGTGACTTTGGCGGAATGCGGAAATGATAAGCTTGTGGCGATTTTTATTTCTTCCCTCCTAAAAATCGTCTAAAATCGTCGAATCACCTGAGGATCATTTACTATAACTCTAGTGGTAAATATGTGGTTTCACCACTACAAATGTTCTAGTCACGCTTGATTACAGCCAATTCCCCAATTCCAATTACAATTACAGCCAATAGGTAAATATGTGGTTTCACCACTACAAATGTTCTAGTCACGCTTGATTACAGCCAATTCCCCAATTCCACCATTACAATTACAGCCAATAAGTAAATATGTGGTTTCACCACTACAAATGTTCTAGTCACGCTTGATTACAGCCAATTCCCCAATTCCAATTACAATTACAGCCAAATCCCCAATTCAATTACAGCCAATAATAAATATGTGGTTTCACCACTACAAATGTTCTAGTCACCTTATGTCTATACACGTCATTAGCACGGAAAAGCAATATTAAAGTTGCAGATGTCACGTCCGTTATTTCTTCTGCTATTTCTACAAGCTTCAGAGGTGCTTTTGGAGTCTCCCGAGTGCAGAGGTTTAACCACACGAACCGAGAAAATTATATGCGAACAACTATCTAAGATGGATCAAATTGCGAGAGTGGGTTCTGTCGTATTTTCCTGTTGTATCTGATTAATATCAATAGTATCAACTATAAGCTTCAATGAGCCAACAATCCAATGTTTTGGGCTTCAAAATATAGAAAAAAATGGAATTTGAAGCAACTTTAAACACAAGTTTTAAAGAATGCGCCGCCTAGAGGTGCTGATAGTCGCGCAGCTTGTGAAGGATGTCCTCCGTTTTTGGAAGAGTGCATGGACTTAGCTTGTCTATGTGAAGCACTTACAGGTTTCTATTTTCCTTAAAAGATCCAGAGCTCATGCTTATGATTTAGGCTTAAAAAATCAAAACATCTGTATGTTTAATGGCAAAGCTGTTGCGAAAGTAAACTATTTTTAAAATTTTTTTTCTTGAATACAAAGTGAGTGGCGTGTTTTTTCTTTTACAGTACCTTCACCAACTAATCTTTATGATTATCCGGGAAACTTCCACAAATCCCCCTTAGACAATCGAAAAATTATCCAGAATTTCAGCTTAAGCGAAAGGAATACCGTCTAATGAGTGATGACGAAAGAACGCGCTTCAATCAGGCTATGCTCAATATAAAACAAAATGGCAAATTCTGGTTACTTGGTTTGTGTTATCGCCATTTATTAGATCTTGTCGCCTGGTCTGGAGAAACTTGAACTTTACAGTGGATACGCATTCCAATATGCAAACAACGCTCGGGGCTCATGCTGGTCCAGCTTTTTTGCCTTGGCATCGAGAATTTATTAAAAGGTGAGTATAATAAGGGCATATGTACGCATTTTCTTCAGGTTGGAGTTTGAATTGAGAAGAGTCGATCCGGAAGTATTTCTTCCTTATTGGGATTCCACTTTGGAGTCACGCTTACCTGCACCAAAGGACTCTTCTCTTTTCTCGTGAGTTTGTCAAACAAACCCCCTATTTTCATTGAAATGGAAAAGCCAGCTGCTTTTTCAACCAAATTAAGTTTAAGTTATTTGTAATGACTAGTCAAAGGCTAAGGCAAAGTCAACCACTATAGTGACTTCTCATCACGAACAAGAATTAATTCAGACCAGAATTGATGGGCACTGGCACCTGGGCTTTAATTGATGGACCATTTGCCAACTGGATGGACTTAAATGTGAGGCGCGGGGAAAATCGTTTACCTCTTTTAGATCAGAGAGACGAATATTTTCGATATTTTTAGAACCGCTTTCTTCAACGGCAAGTTGGCTTCGATGGATCCCCCTTCACGGTATCAACATTTGCTGTTTCGTTTCAAGAGAACAATTTAGGATGAGGTCGTTGAATTTCTACTAAATAGAGCTAATTTAATGAATATGTTGGCCTTCTCGTTTCCAAGAGAGGTTCGTTGTTTTTTCTTTCCTTTCTGTGTGATATTCAAGGGGTAATACGTGCCTACACAGGCCCGTAGCCAAGGGGCAAGGGGACAAATGCCCTTCCTCCCCAAAATCCGAAAAAATGGCATTTTTCCTCTTTTTGCAATGTATTTTTGAAACAATTTAGATTTTGTCCCCCCCCCCCCCAAAAAAAAAGATTCCTGGCTACGGTACTGTACCTATGTATGTATGAACTCTCTACAGACTTTGCTCAACTTATAATAGACGATTTCAGGGTTGCTTCAAAGATGCCAAACAACAGAAGTATTCCCACTAACTCCAGCATTGAGGGGCTACATGCCGAAATACATCTTTGGATTGGAGGTTTGACTGGCAACAGTCATCCGCCGTTTTTCCTTGTTTACCATTAATTCACAGGTCATATGCTTGATCCAATGACCTCAGCTAATGATCCGATCTTCTACCTTCATCATGCATTTGTTGATTTGATTTGGGAAACGTGGAGACAGTCAAAACAGGTTCTGCTATATATACATACATGTACTAGGAGCTCTTAATATGAAAGAATGTCGAATTCTGCAAAGTAACATGGATTAATCAAATACAACAAGCAAATGTTGAAAATCCACGTAATTTGAAATTTTCGGACTTATCGCTAGATGAGGATTTATCATATCATATCACTTATCAATGAGGACTTATCAAATGGACTTGCTTTTAATTGAATCCCATTGCAGAAGCGAAATCAAATGGAAAACGAATATCCGTCGTTTCGTACGTTTGATAAACCGTCTCCGTGTGCAACTTCCTTTCATGACGCGCTAGCAACGATGGTGCCTTTCTCTTCTTTACAGTATAGTCTAACTAGTTTCTCTGGAATCGAGCAAATTCAGGAATCCGAGATGGTCTCTCGCTTGCCTACACGGATAATCTTTATGAGATAGTGCCCCAAGACCTATGCAGTGTGGAAGATTTAGATTGTGGTAGCCGGTAGAAAAACCTTTAAATTCAAAACTTCGGAGATTCAGCTTCCTGTTTTGCGATGTTTCACATGGTGCACTGAGGTGCGCATCGAAAATTCGATTAGGTGGCAATGTTGGTAAACGTTTAGTGTTGCACTGAAAGATGAGACACTTTGAACCCAAAAGAAACACTTTGAATTTAGTGCACTGGTTATGCAAACGGCGAAGATGCCTGTTATAATGGCATTTGCAAGCAAGATGTTTGCCAAGTGAGGTTTAAATTATTGAGTCTTCTAACAAAACTACTATACTATAAACGACGCTCGAAACGACTCCACGACTACTATAAATAACAATAAACATACCGAGGTGGATAACTCATTCAAGACATCTTAGTGACATCAACAAATCATTGAAAGAACATACAAATAATCACCGACAATCCACATTATCAATTATTGACAATTTCCCTCAGGAACTCCCTCCGGAAGACAAAGCGAGCAGCTTAACAACAGCTGTTTCCCCAAGTCAGGTCTGCACCAATGTGGGCCGTTTGGGGCAACCCAAGCTTATCTGTTTGTAAACAGTTTCGTTTTGTTTTAACACTGGCGCATTTGTTGTTTGTACTGGTTAAGATAAATGGATGTGGTATGGAAGGTATTGAAGTTGTTCCTTCCATCAGTAGAGATTCAAATGATAATCAAAATAAATTTCTCTTTATTATGCAATTCCAGAAATGCTGGAACAAGCACCAGTGCTGTCAACCGTGGCTAACGCTGGGGAATGCGAACGCAATCCGGGCTTTATGAACAGTGTCTGTGGACCCTCTTGCAACATTTGCAGGCCTACTTTTCCTATACAAGACGGTTTGGATGCCCTAGTTTGTTATTCCAAACCATCTCAGATTGCGCGGATCGTCATTTCTCATGCGTCAGCTGGGCGCAAAGTGGCGAATGTCTAAATAATCCCATCTGGATGGCTGAGGTTAGAATAAATTATGAATCCAAATTCTACATACCTAGCTCACTTCTAACCAAATATTTTGAGAACTGTCGTAAGAAGTTGCAATCAGTGTCAGCAAACAAGAGCTACTGCATGCCGGAATCCTCAAGGTCAGACTTAAAATTTTCACTGCATAGGAATTTCTAGTTTTCGCTAAGCCAGCGCCAGGGACGATCAAATGCAATGGATCCACTGAATGTTATAATAAAAATGCGTGTTGTCCATATTGGGCAAGTCGGGTAGTTAAGCACTGATCTCATTGAGCACTATCTTAATACTAGAGCGTGTGCGCGAAAACCAGAGTTCATGAATTGTAATTGTCGAGTCTCTTGTGGTCTGTGTACTCCGTCAAACTACCTCTATGGAGGTTTGATTCACTTGCAAAAAAATTGATTTTAAGTTACTAAGAAAGTTCTACATCATTTCGTTCCAACAACGATTCAGGATGCAATGATTACCACCAGGAATGCCGAATGTGGGCTCAAAGGGGAGAGTGCAAACGAAGCACTTGGATGGAAGAAAACTGTCGTGCGAGTTGTGGGACTTGTTTCGATATGCTTGGGCTTGCCTCGCGTTGTCCATCGACAAGCGGAGCAACGTAGGTCATTGTTTTGACCCGATGCCCAACTACGTCTAGGTTGATCGCAAACGTTAAACCGCTCGAAACTCTCATCGACAATGGCAAAATCTATCAAGAAATGGGTAATTCTCCCATAAACAACGTCGAACAGTTCATTTTAGAACCCGTGATTGTCGGTGAAAATATGTTTGATGGTCACATCATCGAAGATTGGGAAGATGGAGAATGACGACCAATAGGAAGATTCAACTTCAACGCGTGTTTCTTTCTTCGCATAAACTTTGCTATTAGATTGGCAACTTGAAAGTTGGCACACTTTTTTGTATTCTCCATAAAACATATTTAATACGCCAATTGAATTAGGCTTCTCTAAATAAAAGTTATCTATTATCTAATTTAAAGACAAGCAAATTTGGGTAACTTTTGAAGCGAATTTGAGCATAAATTCAAGTCTTTCTGAAAATTCTTCAAACAGACATATAACTAAAGCAATTAGACAAATCGAGCTGAGAATTCGGCTATATACCTAACTTTTCATGCTCTATCTTTTTTCTATTAACATCAAAATAGGTTTATGTGGAAGAAAGTGCTCAAATCGCTTCATCAAGTGTTCATCATCTTTGGTTCCTCAACTTCTTGCCCCCTAGAAATCTACAAAACTAAAGCTTTTCTAAATCTGTCAAAAGCTTGTTTTAGAAAATAAATAGCCCATTTTATTGGTAATTACAGTCAATTACAGTATGACTTAAATATGATTAATTACAGTCAAACCTCGCTAGTGAACTAACCTCGATAGTAGGATTTTTTTAGAATCCTCTAAGTTAATTTAGTACTAATCAAAACCTCGATAGTGAACGGTTTTTCAGAATCCCGTCCATAATTCGCTAACACTAACTGTACGAATGGCTGGAATGAAGAAATTTCCTGAAACACGAAATTAAGAATTTCGAAGTCGACCAACAATGAGGACAATGAGGATTCTGTTCCTTCATGCTCAATCAACTCTTTTTCGCTTATGTTTTCGATGTCTAGATCGATCATGAGCTTCTAGCTACTAGTCTAGCCGTAATCGGTTTGTTCAGGGAATGTGATTCTGAAAATGTGAATCTCCGTGCATTCACGTGATTATAAACTATTTAATCGAAGAACTTAGCTCCGATGATACCCTTTTTTCAAAGCCAATTTATATACGGGACGCTTATTGTGTTTTGGATCACATCAAAGGTCAGAACCGGCTTTATCAAAGCTCTACAAAGTTCTTTTGCTACAAAGAGAATTTCAATTCAGATATTGCAATGTAGATATGAATAATATGCACATAAGAAACTGAATACTGTACTTGTCCAAGAGCCAGCTCTTCTATTTTTCAACCTCCTCCCAAAATTCCTTTTCACGCCCTAGCTACAGTACCCGAAAGCTATAGTACCCAAAGGTACAGTACTCAAAAGTTATAGTTTGTTGAAGCTACTGTCCTCAAAGTTACAGTAGCCAATGAAAAAACATAGCCAATTCGCAAATATCATAGCTAATTAATTAAATTAGAATCCTTTAGAAATCTGTGATATTTATAGAACACTTGGACCAACTAATTTAACACTTAATTTTCAAAAAATTGCAACCACTTTACGAATTTTCCTTTTTTTTTGTTCTGTAGTTGCCATCCAAGAGCAAACTTCCCTCAACTCCATTTGTAATTTGAAAGCAAAAGTGATTTTCCTTTCCTTTGAATTTCTGTATCTCTAGAAAACAGGTGATTTTTGAATGTTGAGAAGAAATCACATAGGGAATTCACAAAATGGAAAACGTTTATTGAAAGAAAATATATTTGCCCAATGATTCTTTTACGGGGTTTTCTTCGGCACCCACACATCGCAATGTTTCTCCGGGGAATATGTGGCACCAACGGGACAATTGAAAGCCGATCGGAAAGCCGGGAAATTCTGGATTGCACCGAACACACGGTAGTTGGCCGGGGAATGGGGATCGACCATGATCTGACGGAAATATTGATCCGGTGTCTCGTCCATTTGACACCAAACCTGAAAGCTTTTCATAAAATAAAAATGGGGATGATAGGTCTAAGGCTGACTTCTGGCTAACCCATCTACTGAAAATTGGTGCCTGGAACCTCCTGGGGTGCTTGCTAAAGATATCTTTAACTAGGCAATTGAGTTGTAAGTCACAATTCTATCACTACAATAATTGCAATAAGTTTATCTTTGTCTTCTCAACATTATTCATTTTGAAAATCCCATTTTTCAGCTAAATAACCTGGCCGAAATTGAGGAAAAAGAGTTGATCGTGACTGAATTGTCCCAAGACTCTTTCATTCAATTGTGCATCAGGTCCATTCAAATTCTTGTGTACTTGATAGGCACGGAAAGCCGAATGGATACCTTTAAATGGATTGTTAATTTAGTTAATTTTCACATTCAAAACCTCCATTGTCAGCAATATTTTCTCCTTGCGTGTTTTCTCCATTCAAACATTGCGGTGTAGTTGGTTCCCTTGAGTGGACAGAATAAGCTGTACTCTGAAGAAAACAAAAACAAATCAAAAAAACTATCGTAATCGAATAGTAAACTTTCTCTTTGAGTACAATAGTTTTTGAAAAGGGATTTTTAGAAAAGGGATTTTTCATCTCCATCACCCACCATCAATGATACACTTTGCCATATCATCGAATCCCTTTTTGCTCGCATCGGTCATCCACGTGTTCAATGCTCCAACTCCATTCCATTGCACTCCTTGATCATCAAATCCGTGTGTCAACTCGTGTCCTGGAATTGTTTTTCTCTAAAGTTCTTCTTTTTTCTCAATTACCAGCCACAAGACCCATTCCACCGTAATTCAAGGACGCTGGCCATTCTGGATGGAAGAAAGGAGGACGGGAGGATACCTGAGAGAAAAGTGTATTCAGATCGATATCAATTTTGTTTAAGCTTTTGTATAGACTTTTAAATTCCTATAGTACGCAATTAGCACTACTCCTGACGGGAATGTTAATGTTAATTTTGCTTAGCACTACTCCTGATTGATACAATAGTATGAGTCAAACAAATACCGGCGGGGAAAGTGATGCTGTTCAGCTCGGGCTGGTACCAGGCATTAACAATTCCCGGTTGTCCCAGGAAGTCGGTTCGATCGGTCGACGTGGCAGTGAGTTGATTGTACTGTGTCCAGAGATTGAAGCTAAAACATAATTAATTCAAATTTTTCCTTAATATCTACTCACACAGTCAACTTGTCGAGAATCGTGTAATACGTGTCATCTCCAGTGAGCATCAAGTTCTTGTAGAAATCGTCGAGTTTCCCATTATCAGTGATCCAATCCGGGAAGGCCACGTTCTTTTCTAGACCCTTTCTTATTGAAAATTTGCTTTTTTTTTCAACTAACGTATGCTTAGAACTTTGTCATAAGCTCCTTTCTTACTGTCGTTGTCCATCCAATCTAAACCATCCAACATTCCTTGGAAAGCGTTCAAAACATTCGAGATCAATCCACCAGCCGTTCTAAAGGTTGCGAAGGTTGGGAAGGTTGGTAAGATTGGAAATTTCTTCTCAAACAACAGGTTTCCTAAAACGTGTTCACTTTCTAAAACTTTCGTTTCCTTACAACAAAAGTTTTGCCAAAAAGGAATCGAAATCGAGCTAAAAAACGCAGCGTTCGTTTTGTATGCAAACGTTTAATCCACTATACCATCAACCACGTTTAAAGCTGGTGAGAAAAAGGCATCCCTATTCTCTATCCAGCTCCAAATTTTCGCCAATTTTTACTCTAAAACTTAAAACACATATAACTTTTTATAGAAAGGGATTTTGCAAAAATGGAAAGCAGATTCGAAATCAGCGTGAAATTCTGCATCGAATGGTCTATGGCTTATCTCATTTGTTCACATTCTACTGTTGTTTTTCCCTTCTTAGTTCTATCCTTAATTTGAAACTCAAAAATAAAACAAAAATAGATTGATCCAAGCAAGATTACGGTAGTTTCCGAAAGTTGACGCGTTTTAGCAAACGGCATTCCACTTACGATCGAATGACATCCTTTGCAGCTTGATCTGGATAGAGAACATCAACGAACACACGTCCATTCGAGTATTGCATCAAGCCAAGAGTTGCGCCTAGATTTATTTTGTAACACAATCACAATACAAGAGACAAACCAGCACAGCCAACATCCGTATCGCTGACGTCACTGAAATGATTTAGGATTACGGTGAAAGCATACAATTCTCGAAGGTCACCTCAATTGTGGGATAATATCTCGTTGCCCTTCAGCCGATCGTCTTCCTTTGCCCAAGCCTTTCCAGCGCTTTTCCACCTGTAAAATGTCAAATTGGGATTTGAATCTCAAAAAAGTAGTCAGTGAAAGTCAGTTTCAAAATGAAAAACTGTTCAATTCAAAAGCCTCACCCCCATTCGTCCATTTCCATATTGTGGAATGAGATTTTGATAGGCGAGAAGGAGACGCATGTAGAGATAGTTGACCGAAAATTTATTTAATCACACTTTTCTCAAATTCTCTTTCTCACCACCACATCGGGAGTTGTCATTGTGGCCAAGTCTTGACTCAATTTCTTCAGCATGTCCGTCTAAAAGATGATGGAGCTCTTTTAGAAAAAATGATGCAGAAATTAAAGTGTATTGGGAAGATTATGCTGCTCATAATGAGTAGCATAATCTTCCCAGTACACTTTAATGTATGCTACTCATAATCTTCTCAATCTAATCTTCTCAATACACTTCAATTTCTGCATCATTTTTTGAGAAAGTTTAAGGTAATCAAATCAATCAATCAATTTTTTTTATAGCATATTTCTCACCTCAATCACGTTCACCATCTTGTCGGCAGCCAACGGGCCAACGGATGGAACATCAGTGAAGTAAACGCCCCAATCGAGGAAAGTGTAGTTGGCCTGGAATGTGGGATCGGTTATCATTATTGGCTGATACAAAAAACTTCTCTTTTAAGTTTATTTACCTGCAAATCGGCGGTTTTTCCATTGTTCCAGCTGCGCTGGAACTGGCGACGAGTCGTGTCATCGGTACTGAAAATGGTTTGATTGCAAATGAGAACTTCAACAGCTGATAAGATTTTAGATCACCGTATCAAACCGGGATAGATTTGTGGTAATTAAATCAAATATTTTATTGAAAAGACATGTAGTTTGCCAATACAAACCATCAGCTAAAGTTCTGATGAAAAAAGACTTCTTGCCAACCCTTTTTGTTGCCAACCTTTTCAAAAACTTACCTGTACATGGTTGAGAGAGTTCTCTCGAATTCCAACACTTTAGACAACGTTGAGTTGAGAAGAGATTGATCGAGGGTGAGTCCTGGAATTTCAATACGTCAAATCTCATTAACTTCAAATATCATTAACGTCAAATCTCATTGAAAAGCAAACCTTGGCTTGTTGCATAATTGGTGAGTTGTGCTTTAGCATTGCTGAGGTATTGTGGTTGGATGATGTTCCACGCTCCACCTTGATAGTACGATTTCGAATAGTAGGCTGTGTTTTGATCAACGTGAAGCATATATCTAAACAAATTACAAATTATAAATTACAAACAAAAAAAAACAAAGCAGCATCTATCTAAACATACAACTTCCGCATCTTTTCCAACAATTTAATATGCAAATTAATCTTTGACGTCTTATTTCATTGAATTTTAGTATATTTTCTCCCAGTTTTATATGATTTTGAATAGATTTAAGTTAGAATTCATTAACATAAACCTAATAAAATCATTTATACTATTTTCCCCCTTATCTTTACCAAACTAGAGACATGCCAGGTGAAATTTACATTTATCCTGGGAGAAAATGAAGTAATACTGAAATTACGTTTTCTCAAGTAGATTGGATAAAAGTTTAGAGGCAAGGTAACAGTAGTTTTCGAAAGTTAACACCTTTTAGAAAACGATTCGGCTACTGTAGCTAAAATCTACTATAATGTGGCAGTGTTTTGAAGGTACTTAAAGTAAAGAAATGAATGGCAAAAATTTGGAACCGAGGATTGAATCCTCGACCTTCTGCTTATCGGGCAGATGTTCTACCATTGAGCTATCGGCCTCTACTTTGTTCAAAAAGAAATAGGAAACACAAGGAAGAAGAAAGAAAGAGATGTTAAAAGAAAGATCAAATTCCTCTACCCCATAGTTGGCGTCACCCAATTTGTGTCGACCATTGGTGTCACGAGGGTATCCACGCCGGCGATGAACGAAAGATAGGCAAGAGCCGAGGCCAATTGCATGGGAGTTGGCGCGACTGTGACTGGCATTCCCTAAATATATACTGATCAATTTCTTCCCATGATCATCCCCGCACTTGACTGTAAACGGCCGTGAAATCAGCTCCAATACGTTTCTTCAACTCGTTGACTTTCGGCAGAATGAGATTCAAGTTCTTCAAATCATTAGCCATTGTCGGCACAGCTTTTTGGCAAGATTGGAACAATTGCTGGGTCTTTTGCAAGGCGGCTGAGCTCTACAAAGGGATTTTTTTTTTATTTTTGATTGCCACAAACCTGGATCGTCGGCGCATAGGCTGGGTCGAGTAATTTCGCGGCCATCGCCGCTTTGTTCTTCTCGTCAGCCAAATGGAAGCTCACCTAGAACAGAATAAATAGTTTGACTGGTATTCAAAGGATTTGTTTTCAATTTACTATTCAAAAACCCCACCACTTGCTTATAGTTTCCACAGGAGTACTTGTAAAAATCGTTGCACGGATCTTGGGTGAAATCGACGGAAGCTTGGAAGAAATCGACAGCTTGCTGATACGCTGAATAAACGGAGAGATTTCGTGGAGCGATTGGCAGCGCGGGAGCCACGTTCACGTCGTTTTTGATCTGCGGAATGCCGGTCGTTTGTTTCGGTTCGCTCACCTAAACCATTCTTACAAATGCTTCCGTTCACATAAACAAACCCAAACATTGCAGTGCTTTTCGGGAGCGTATTTCGAGTTGTACGGGCAGTTGTAAGCGGTCTGAATTGAGGAAATTTAACAAACAATTTCATAACAAACCTTGAAAGCGGGGAAGTTCTGAATGGTTCCGAAAACTCGATAAAGTGATGGAGAGTGCACATCCACCAACAATTGCCTCATCTCACGGTCGGGACTTGGGGGCAATTGACACCAATCCTAAAGAATGCATTTCATTTCATAAGTAAAACATAGGCCAACTAAAAGCCAGCTCCAAGTCTGGCCTCTGATTGATCGGGTTTGAAAATGGTTTGAAGCCTTATTTGATATTCAAGTACTTTCTGTGGGCTAGTTCAGAAATCAAGCCAAGAAAAGCAATCAAGAAAAATTGGTTTTGAGCTTCGGTTAAGCTTTTCATGGGGATCGTCTAACCAATCTTATCTTACTTAGGCTTCAAATCTACCTGAGCAAAAGCGATGAAGAAGAGTTGCTCGGCGGTGAGTTGCGATAGCTCGTCGTCGGGGAGAAGCGGGTCGGGGCCGTTCAAGTTCGCGAATGCTTTGTAAGCACGGAAAGCCGAATGGATTCCTGAATCAAAATTGATTTGTAGCTAAATAAAAGAACTGCTCAACCTCCATTATCAGCGATGTTTTCTCCTTGCGTTTGAGCTCCATCAATACAGGCGGCAGCTGAGTAATTGGCGGGGAGTGGACAGAAACTGGAATGGAAATGAGTAATCGTGTGTTCAAGTTTTATTTTATACTTGTATTTTATATTTTCTTCAAATTTTCCCTCACCCGGAATACTCTTGCACAACGCAGTCAGCCATCTCATTGAAGCTATAGCTGGACATGGTGTCCATCCATCCATTCAACGCTCCCGTTCCATCCCATTGTACTCCCTCATCATCGAAACCGTGAGTCAACTCGTGCCCAGCAATCACTCCCATCGCTCCGAAGTTCATCGCAGCCGGCCAGTTTGGATCCTAGATATGGTGAGATCCTTGTACTCGCAATGCTCCAGATTTAGGATAAGTGTAGGTATAGTAAACTTTTGCTACGAGCTCTCAAAGGGAATACCTTTACGCCCACCAGGGAATCGAACCCCAAACCCCGAAACCGTTCGCTTTCCGGACGAAGGCCGAAGGCTCTATTACTGAGCTATGGGCACACAGAAGAGTCCTCCTTCCAAGAGGCTCATAACGGATGATCATGACTCACGATGAGTCTCTCTCTTGGATCCCCTGTCTCTTACAGTATATACTGTGCCTGATATACTATACACTTGGTCTTGGATTTAAAGACTTGTCGAAATCATATGTACATTAGTCGTAGTATACCATGGTCATACTGCTACCAGCCAATTTGGATCCTATACTTGGTCAAACTGGGCTTTGTTCTTGGATTTAAAAGCTTGTAGAACTTACGTAGAATGGTTGACGGAGAATGGCCAACGGGAAAGTGATACTGTTGAGCTCCGGCTGGAAATAGTCAAATTATTCATTTCAGATCTAATTAGCAATCAAAAATCTCTGCTACAATCAAAAATCTCTGCTTGGTATCAAGTAAGCTTACTTGATACCAAGCATTCGTTGTTCCCGGGGGTCCATTGAAATCAATTCGATCAGATCCCGTTGATCGAAGGAGATACAAGAATTGCATCTGAAAAAGGGTTTTGAAAAAATAACTTATCTATAGTATATTTAAAGAGTTCACTTGTAGATTGAAAGCATTCGATTTTTTGAACATGGTCACATAGTCGTCATTTTGAGTGATCATCAGCGTCTAGATTTGAGAGTCAATTTTCATTTCAATTCATTTCAATTCAATTCAATAATCAAAGAAACCTTGTGATAGCTTGTCAACTTTTGATCATCGGCCACCCAATCGGGGAAAGCGATGTTCTTGACGAGGTTCTCGATCTTCGCGAAAGCTCCCTGTTTTGTTGATCGGGACATCCACGAGAGTTGATCGATCATCGAACGGAAACCGACGAGAATCGATTCTGGAAAGAACAGTAAAGAAGAAAAGATTTGAACTTTATCTTCTATATCTTTTATAAGTATTTCTTTCTGTTGATGTGCACTTATCTAGAGTATTTTGGTACTTTTTAAACATCATATACTAACCAGCCAATTGTCGAACATTGTATCGAAGAGAGTCACGATCGCTTTGTGTCGGCAAAACCGCATCCACAAAAGCACGGGCGTTTGCGTACTAGAATTAGAATTTTGATTTGTCGAAGAATTCTACCCTGCTTAATAGTTGCTATATAGTAACTGCTTAATAGCTAATAGTAAATGCTTAATAGTACTAATTAATTAATAGACTTGCTTAAAAGTAAATTAACGGGAAATAGGAAAATCGGGAATAATGGAAATGAGAATTTTGACAAGAATGACAAGAAAACAGAGGTGGAGTTAGGTTCGGCTTGGAATTTTCCCATGTCTACTATCTAAATTTCTATCAAAATCTATCTAATTGTATCTAAATTTCTATCTAATTCTATCTAATTCTATCTAAATTTCTGAAGAATGTTTAGTCACTTACAGGTAGCATAAAGACGGTCTCTTGAGCGCAATTGATGTCCAACATTTGATCATCAGTCCAATGTTGACGTCTGTAAAGGATTCTTTTTTTGCTTAAAGCATTAAGAAATATAATACTTCTATATGCAACTTTACCTGAATTTCCTTTCTTCTGGTCGAAGATGTCGTGGGCGTCCGAGTGTCGGTTTGTAGATGTAAGGCTGCTCCCAGGCCTCCTAAAAATGCAAAAGATTCAAGAGAAAAGACAAATCAAAATAAACCTCGAATGCCGATCGGATCGATGATGAATCCGGAGTCAAAAAGGATGAATAAGCATCAACCAAACGATAGTACAAATAGTTGATCACTGTTCGTTGATCGAAACTTGGGAAATCCGACTAAAAATTCACTTAAAAAGATTCACTTCCCCCTTGTGTTTTCTTTTTTTCTCTCGGCAAGTCAAGGTACTGAATAGGTCAGTGCTTAGAGCAATTGCTTAGAGCAAAAGATCGAGGGTTCAATTCCCTCTGCGGAAATCTAGCTCTCTTCTTTTTTAAGATTTACAGCCTTTTTGCTCACCTGAAGTTTCGACAATTGCCCTGGTTCGAGGAGAAGGAATGGGAAATTTGGATCGTGAACGACTTTGTAGTAGACATCATCGCCGCCAGAGATGATTGACTGCAAGAAAAGGTTCTACGTTGCTTACAAGAAAATAAGCTTTCACAGATTACTAGATCAGCTGGAGAAACTTTCGCCAGACTCATTCAAGAATACCACGATCGGGAATGATTTAAAGCCGATTTTCTATGGCTTACAGACTTAGAACATCCCTGCTTATTTCAAAAGCTTATTATCAGTAGAGTTTGTTAGATTTCTTTCACGTACATGTGCCAAAAACGTTCTCCAATCGATGAATGAATAGGCGGTGGTGGCATTGGTTCGAGTCATCGGATTGTAACTGCGCTGGTACTTTCGCCGGGTAGTGTCGTCGGTGCTAAATCGGGACATTGAGCTTAAGCATTATTGTATAATACATAATAGCCAATAAAAATTCTTTTCCAGTACCTGTATTGGGTGGCAAGATTGAACTCGAAATCGACAAGCGCCTCGGCGTCACTCTTCAGCTTTGTCGGATTCAATGCATTCATATTCATCGCTGCCGCCACTTTTTGTAGATTCTTTTGCACGGTTGCCACGTAGCTGAACGTTTTGTTTCATTTTTGACGTCTAATTTGGTTATTTACTTGCTTCTGATGAGATCCCAGGCTTTTGTGTAATAGGTGGAGCGATAGATTGTTGTTGGTTGATCAATGAAGAGACCGTAGCCCTAGAGGTTTGTTGTGTGGATAACTAGTAAAGATTTGAATACCTGTGGTCCTGTTGGGTCCTTCCAGTTTCTGGAAATTCAAATAGAATAAAAGCAGTACAAATTTATGGATCATTTAAATGTAAATTTATAGATAACGAGCCGAAAAACCCGCGTAATGACGGATTTTTCTGGCCTGGCTACCATGTCGCCGTGGCGCAGTCAGGAGAGCGCCTGTTTGCAACCCATCCGATCCGGGTGCTACTCAGTTCTTCCTTTTTCAATCTTTTTATGAAAAAGCCCGTCCAGACATGGATTTAGAATGGATTTCCAGCAGAAAATGCTCACTTCGTTCGAGTTTTCCGCGGGGAATCCATTCAAATGACTACAACTACCTTAACCCATGTCAAGCCCAGCCCCCTTTTTTAAAAATGGACTTGAAACTCAGATTCCGTATAGCCGAAAACCCCTGGGAGCAAAGTATCGCGCGCAAGCGCAAAAGCTGAATACTTCTCCTTTTAACCGATAGAGCAAACGTAATTACGCACAGACGGACAGACGGACGTCTCTTCTGCTTTATATATAGTAGATTTTTAAAAGTTACGTGTCAACGAATGGCGAAAGAAGAGTATAAACACCCTCGCTTCCGGCCAGATAGCCGATCATGGTACCCAATTGGGTTGGTGTGAGTGGAGAGATATTGTTGATTGATTGGTTGAGAGCCGGGAATGGGACACCAGTCATTGAAAGCATGTCGTTCAGCGCCTGTTTTTTTAATGAACAGGCACATCAAAATCATTTAGAAAAACTTACGCTGACAGTTGGTGCACCATTGGCTACGCTGTTCCAATTCTGGAATGTTTTTTTGTAAGTATTAATCACTTTTAACCTCACCATATTGGCTTGTCGACATTGTTGGAAGTACCAAGCAGCTTGGTTTACCGGTTGAGGCTATAGGAAAAGATTATTTGATATTTTTTTTGTAATTGATTACCGCAACATCGAGATAGTATTGCTTTTTGAATTGACGAGCCATTTTGATGCTATTCTCGTTGTCAGAAACGTCGAAAGACCTGCAATAACCTTCAGAGAGTGAAATTTTTAACAGAATCTGTTTCACAAATCTCTTGTATCAATAACTATTGTGTTTTTGAGCTGAAACGCACATATCCCCGTTGAAGTTGCCGCATGTGAAGGCGTAAAAGTCATTGCATGGATCGGCCGACGTGTTCATCATTGGCCTAAGAATCGATTTGAATGTCGAATATGAATATTGATTGTTTTATTGTTTTATCTATAAATCATTTTTTTAAAAATACTTGAGAAGCTTGACGACATCCATAAATGCACCATATTTGGGATTATCGGTGTGAATGGGAGCCGGAGTGGGCACCGCTGGGGCTCCATCTAGGAATTTCGACTAGAACTTCAGATCACAACTTTAAGTTAGTTCAACTTTAAGTTACTTTATTATATAGTTTTAAAAAAAACTATACAATAAAGCTTAATTAGTAAAACTTTTGTCTTTATTTGTTAAAAATCTGACTTGTAATCGCTAGGAGCACAGCGCCGAGTAACCCCACCACCTGAACGATTGGATGAAGAGAAAAAAAACAGTAGAAATTTTTGTATTGTACAATAATACGGTAGAATACGGTAAATTACAGTTCTAAGTGAAAGCTTATTACATATCTATGGCTACTATTCTAATAGTAAGCTTCAGGAGTTCAAGTATTTTACTTCATTCTACAACTGTTGCCTAACTATGAGTCGTTGATAGTCATTACAAGGGTGTCCAATAAAAAAAACGTTTCCAAACTGGAATTCTTCAGAATTTCTGGTCGCTAGAAGTGATCGATGTGGTGTCATTTGTGGTGAAGCGTTTGTGCTCTAAAATTTTTCATATTTTTTCACGAAAACATTATCACTTGATAGAGATATCATGAGATTATGAGTGCCACCATGGTCACCACCATGTGACCATCAACAGGGCAAAATTTTTACCATAAAGTGGAGACTTTCTACTGACATCGTGGTGTTATATTAGAGTTAATATATAAAATAAAATTATTAACCAAAAAGATTATTAGTCTGAAACATGCACTATTCTCTCATACATAAGGCCCTTCTCACCTTTCTCAATCTCTCATACATAATGCCCTTTCAACTCACCGTCTTCAAAGAGAGGTCGAGTTTTTCCAAGGAACTTCTAATCAAAAAACTGTTTGGTTAATAATCTTATTTTATATATTAGCTCTAATATGATATCACGATGCCAGTAGAAAGTCTCGACTGTATAGTAAAATTTTTGCTCATGGTAGCACTCATAATCTCATGATATCATGATGATGTTTTCGTGAAAAATATGAAAAATTTTAGAGCACAAATGATTCACCACAAATGACACCACATCGACCACTTCTAAGCGACCAGAAATTCTGAGGAATTCCAGTTTGAAAACGTTTTTTTATTGGACACCCTGTAGATTTAAAAAACAGATCTATAACTATCTTATACAATATCTTTTAAACCATAAAAAATACTGTACCCTTAAGATGGCCATGTCGGGGGCACTTGAGCGGGCAAGAATGAACAAAAGCCGATAAGGAAAACCCAAGTCGACTTCCAGGGGAGGAAATAGGATGGGAAAGAGAAAAACAATTGCACGGAGACATTCAGAAGAGAAAAGAAAAAGAATGGGTGTGTGGCATTGATACAAGCGAAGAGGGATGGGCTTCTTTCACTTCTTGCCAATCTTCTGATGTCATTACAATCAGTTGCATCACCTAAATGGGAAGTTGAGAAGGTGTCTGTTCTGTTGGCAATGGTGCTGTTGTGTCTGAAAGAGAAATCTTCTTGTTGAAAAGTTAATTACACTGTAAGATCCCTGTCACTCTGTAAACCAAAAATCTTCCAAGATCTTTCAATTCTTGAAAAGCTAAATTTCTTCAGGTCAACTATTTTTGCTTCAGCGTACTATAGCTGAAATAAGATACTATTATTTTTACAGTATCTTCAAATATTGACTAATCTGATCGCTTAGATTGTGCGCATTGGATGGCTTACATTGAGCTCAAATCACAATTAGATCAACGCTTCCTTTCTGGCACACTGAATCAACTATGACTTTTGCTAGTTAGCTCAAAAAAAAACTGACTTATTGTTAGCTTTGCGCTTTCGAGAAATTGCTCCATTAAATCTACAATTTGCATAAAATTTGAGTGAAATTGCGGTGTTATTACATCTTCAAAAGCCAGTTTCTAATGGTAAGTGAAATCCAAACCCGTATCCAACACTAATCAATGATGTTTTTATGCAAAGATTGTGAACGTTTATTCTTGTGAATCTCTTAACTTTTCAAAATTCTCGAAGCGTTTTGTTGGTATTTTAATTGATCTTTATTGCGCCTCGTAACGATCGGAACGACCCAGCCAAAGAAATGAGTCTGAAGAGAGAACTCTCGAGTCTCGTTTTCTGAAATTTGTAGAAAAAGATTGTAGAGGGAAGACTTTACAATCTCCTCTATTTTGTGATCTCTAAAAGAGGGAAACTGATAAATCTTTTGAGATTGGGAGAGAGGCAAAGAAATTCAATGGAAATAGGCGAAAAAATAGGCGGCTTTTCGTGTGGAATCTTTCTATTTTTATGTATAGAAGACTGGGAGTGATTGGGTGAAAAATGGAAATGAGCTTAGAAAATGAATTAAAGGATTTCAGTGTTTGGGAAAGGCGAAGGTGACATCATTTGTAAAGACTTTCATGCACAAAGTCGATCAATACGCTAGACTTTACCTGATAAGCAAATCTATAGAGCAAATCTATAGAGCAAATCTATAGAGCAAATCTATAGAGCAAATCTATAGAGCAAATCTATAGAGCAAATCTATAGAGCAAATTACAGTTTCATCTACAGTACTCCAAAAGATCTTTAATGAAATAAAAGATATTTAGATATTTAGTCTTGCCGATTGGTCATTTTTATCCCAGCATCTCGTAGTGAGAGATGAAATCTTTCATCTATGAAACTGGAACTACTGAATAGAGTACTACAATACTGAACTACAATACTGAAACTGTACATAAAGTACATTACTTTTTTTTCTTTTCAAACTTACTGTATCCACTTAGTACACAGATTGAAACATTTTTTGATTTGCATGAAAAAAATACTGATTGCACAGTTGATTACCGACTTTGTTTGTTAAGGTGATTCTCAAATTCCTCTTAAATCACTCCCTTTTCTGTGAATGCACTATGTGGGTACAGAATTTGCATTTGATTTATAAGCTTACATGCAAATTGCAATGTTATTTGCAAGTTGCCATCTCATTTGACCAAGAAATTCATGAAAAACGAAAATAATTTATCACCTTTACGCCAAAACCTCTTGTTTTCTTTTTGCACGATAAATTATCCACGAGACATCGCGAGTCAACAAATCGCGCCGATTTTGACAGCACTTCCCTCCACTCAGACAAAATCCCATTAGTTTTCGATTGATTGAAGAGAGAAGAGAGGAAGACAAGACAAAAATCGTTTTTCCTTCTTCCTTTTTGTTTCTGATGTGCTATTTTGTGTGTACTCTGGAACTTGTTCAAATTTTTCTTGTTGAAAAGCTAGCTCTTTGCACAATAACAATAATAAAAGAACACGGTAGAGAATGTGCGCGAATGAGAGGAATTGAGAACAGTTCAGTCGGAAATTTGTTATCGAAAGCTATTTGATTATTGTAGCATTTGAAATCCTATTAATCAATTAAATTTTATGGTCAAAATTTGGGCTAAAAGGCAAAAACTGCGGAAAAGCGTTAAGTTGCGTAGTTTTTGCCTCTTAGCCCAAATTTGACGTGTCAGCAAGGTCTGATTTGTCGAAATTCGGAATCTACGCATACGATTCCCTTCTATGAAAACATTTTTGAAGCTCTACGACCTTTTCTAAGGTCTTTTCCAGCGAAAAAAAGGTGCGCTTTTGGTCGGGTGCGCAAAAAAAAGGTGCACCTTTGTCCCACCCCCGACAAGTGATTTTTTTTTTTAAATCAAGTACAAAATCACATTCACGACGAAGACATTTTTTTGTCAGCAAAAAGGCTCAAAATTTGCACAATTTGGTTTTTGAGGGTGTTGCTTTTGAATTTCGTATTAACTTTTCTCTAATTTCATTCGTTTGCCGGCAAATGTCAATGCTATTCATTTTGAGCATGTGCTGAATGCTTTCCACGCGTTCCACGTTTACACGCGTTTCCTGGATTTGTGATAGTGGTTTTAAGAGTCATTTAGGCACTAAACTTGTTTTCCGATCATAAAAACTAGAGATTTCCTTTGTGGAAATAGATATATTCAAGTCGGGTTAATTACCCAAAAATAGCGACCCCACATCCAGGGCAATGTGCCAGACGCCGCTTTTTCCTACGAGCGACATGAACGGTACGCACAAAGAAGCTGTCGCGGTGGTTTTTATGCGTTTTCAGAAAAAAACAAACTACCGTTTTGAAAACTGAAAACAGATTCTGATCAAGGATAAAAAGTTACATATACTCACAAATTCTCAGAATTTTTGATCCACGCATTCACGAGAAAACATCGATGTTACACCGATGTACCGTGCCTTCGTGAATCTGTTAAGTAAATAGCTGCAAAATAACGAAGAGTACAATAGACGTATACAAAAAAAAACAATAGGCTTTGATATGTATACAAATTTAAAGCTATTTCATTATTTGATTTTTTAATTCTTTTACTTTGTCGAAGATTTTTTCTTGAAAGTTTCACGCGTACTCTTCTTGAGACTCACCAATTTTCGCCTCTTAAATATCACCCCATTCCCCTTTTCCCGAGATCGATTCAGAAACGCGTGTTTATTCTCTCAGCCTTTCAAACTCCGTTCCATTTAATTTTCATAAACATTTGAAACATTTTAGTTATTTTTCTAGATGACAAATCGAATATTGCTTAGACGCAGATGTCTCATGTTACAAATTCCCCTAGAATGTTCCTCGGGGTTATTGCGGTGTTCTAGTTTGTGGTTTGTTTTTGCCTCTCTCCTTCCCATTTCCCCCCTCTTTTCCCCTTTTCATTCCCATTCCACGGCAAACATGCCCAGTTCTAGTGTTCCGTTTCAATCTTTTTTATCAACTCAAATGCATGAATTCTCGACAAACATTTTTCAAAGTTACTTTTATGTTTTTTTATTTTCAGAACGAATTGCAATTCGCGTTGAGATGGGTGAAGCGCAGGGAGACATCGCTGTGGTGGGATTAGCCGTGATGGGGCAAAATATCATCCTCAACATCAACGATCACGGGTTCACGGTAATTTTTATGTATTGTAAAATTGTTGAGAGGTTACCTGTCTAGCTCTTTTTATTATTGAGCCTTTTGTGTCAGTTAAGCAAAGCTACTGAGATAAATAGCTAAATACGGATGCATTTTGCTTCGTAACTAGCTAGTAAATATTTTTAAAAGCAAAGTTACAATCTCGGATTTAAATGTACTTTTCTATTTAGGTAGTTGCTGCTAATCGAACCGTCTCGGCTGTGGATGCGTTTCTTGAAAATGAGGCCAAGGGAACAAAGATTATCGGTGCCAAATCCTGGGAAGATATGATCAGGTAAAATATATCTTATCCTTTTGATTACTGTCAAAGTTTTTAGAAAACTGAAGAAGCCTCGCCGAATTATGCTTCTCGTAAAAGCGGGCTCTCCTGTCGATCAAACGATGGATATCTTGATGCCTATGTTAGAAGAAGGCGACATCTTGATCGACGGTGGAAACAGTTTATATGCGGACACCAATGTATGCCTTTTTAAATGGTTAATCGTAAACTAGAGTGTAAAAGTAATGACAGCGTTTATCTATATATTTTAGCGCCGTGCTGCCAAGTGCAAAGAAAAGGGAATTCACTATGTGGGTTGTGGTGTTTCGGGTGGTGAGGAAGGCGCAAGGTTAATTATTTCTCATGTTCTTCACTTTTTTTTATAGATACGGTCCATCGTTGATGCCTGGTGGAGACCCAGCTGCTTGGGAACACCTCAAACCAATCTTTCAATCAATCGCTGCAAAGAGTGACGGAGAACCATGCTGTGATTGGGTAATTTCAGATAAACATTACCTGCATAATGCTTTTATAGGTTGGAGAAGGAGGCTCTGGACACTTTGTGAAGATGGTGCACAACGGAATCGAATATGGAGATATGCAACTGATTGCTGAAGCCTATGATCTTATGCACAAAGGGCTTGAACTCAAGCATGATGATATTGCAGAGGTATTTACGCTTTAAAAAAAAATTTTAGCGATTTTATTTAGGTGTTTGCCAATTGGAACAAAGGCGAACTTGACTCATTTCTCATCGAGATCACAGCCAATATTTTGAAGTTCAAGGACGAAAGCGGAAAAACTCTCTTGCCAAGAATACGAGATGCCGCTGGACAGGTAAAATCATTTACTCGTTATATTTTTAAAGATGTTTAAAACTATTACAATTTGATTATTTTGGAAAGGTACTGGAAAATGGACTTGCATAGCGGCACTCGATTATGGACAACCTGTGACCCTAATTTGTAAGTTGTTCTCAAATAGTTTTTGAATTTCTTTTTTTTCAGCTGAAGCGGTATTTGCTCGTTGTTTATCGGCGCTGAAGGAAGAACGCGTGAAAGCTGCCGCTAAACTCAAGAAGAAGACTTTCAACGTGGCTGAATTGATTCCTGACAAACGAGGTTTTATCAAACACATTGGCAAGGCAAGTCAAAACTTAATAAAAACGTAAATATAGGCTCTTTTTTAAGAATTTATTTAATTTTAGGCTCTGTATGCGTCAAAGGTGGTCTCGTATGCTCAAGGGTTCATGCTTTTACGTGAGGCTTCTAAAGAAATGAAATGGAATCTCAACTTTGGAGCGATCGCTTTGATGTGGAGAGGAGGATGCATTATTCGAAGTCGTTTCCTTGGGGATATCAAAAAGGTAAATCATTGTTTATTGTTTTGTTAAAAAATAATTTAGGCCTTTGACACCAATCCTGAACTGACGAATCTACTTCTCGATGATTTCTTTGTGAAAGCACTTGAGGAGGCTGAGGTAAACTTTTTTATGATCGGAATATATTTACCTTTTTCTCTAGCATTCTTGGCGAGTTGTGGTGTCGGACGGTGTCAAATTGGGAATTCCACTCCCCACAATGTCTGCCGCTTTAGCTTTCTACGATGGTTACACTAGTGAAGTAAGTTTTTCTGAGTCTATTTTTGTTCCCTTATAAAAATCACTTGTCAGCAACAGATTCTGTTTTTTAGACTCTCCCCGCAAATCTTTTGCAAGCCCAACGCGATTACTTTGGAGCCCACACTTACGAACTTGTGGATGAACCGGGAAAATGGGTAACATTGATAAAGTTGAGCATTTTTCAACACGTTTTCTTAGGTGCACACCAATTGGACAGGACATGGTGGCCGTGTGACAAGCAATGCATACTCTGCTTGAGTTATTTTTTTAGTCTATTTCTTAATTATTTCTTATTTCTTAGAATTTTCATTTCTTTTTAATCCTTTTTAACAATCTTTTTTATACTGTAGCAATAACATTGGATCTAAAATGAATCTTTAGGTTTAACAAATTTCCGGTCGATTCTTTTCTCATTTTTACTTTTTGTCTAATTTTCTCTAACATTCCCCTTCTCGATTGTTAATGCGCGAATTGATAACGAAAAATTCCCTGTGGATTGATCTTAGCAGTGATTAGAACAGTGCCTAATAAATGTTCATTGATTTTTCCATAAATAAATCTGCAGGTGATGTGTTTTCAAAAAGAATACAAATTTTATTCATCTAAACGATCGATTGCACGCAAATATTTACAACTACAAGTAGAAAATCGAGAAAAAATATTGGAGTTGATTCCAGGAAAACCCGAAAAGCCACAAATGTTTCGAAAAAGTTTTGTTTTGATTTTCGTATAAATTTTCGAGTAGAAGACTTTAGGTAGTTGGTTCTTAACTTTTGCAGTAACCTTATGGATTAAAATTTTCATGACCCCAAAAATGTTTTTATAGAGGAAAATACCAAATTACCACATGACCCAACAGAATTTGACCTTTTTATTTGATTCTTTTATAGTGAAATTTTAGAAAAAGGGAAGAATATGGGTATCTGGAGAATTTCGATGACAACCCTGTGCAGTACACCGGAATTCAGAAAAGTCTTTAAGGCTACTATAAATTTTAAAAAAAGAAACACAAAAATCGTATATAGATTGCTGAGCAGAAAGCACCCTAGGTAACAAAAATTTTTTGAGAAAATCACACAATGAAGGTTATTATAAAATTGACCGTATTTTTTGGGATTATGCCGGTTTTAGTAGTTCTCTCAAGGATATGGGGCTTTTTCAGACAATTTTGGGGAAAATTGGACTTTGGTAAATGTCGGGAGGTCTCAACTGAATATCTTGAATCTTGATTTCAAAATTGATATCAAGCTATGCAAATTAAATCCCGAAATATGAGTAAAGCCACAATTGTTATAAAATAGTTGCGCCATTGTTATAAAATTGTTATAAAATTGTTATAAAATAGTTGCGCCAACTTTGTTTCATAATCACACAAAAAGCTACACATCGTTTCTTTTGAGACATGAAAAAATGCCTACCATCATTCAAATGGATTGCCCGTCATAATTGAAGACTTCCAAACTAACGAATAAACTCATTTTGCGAGAGAAATGACTGTGAAAAATTGAATATATATAAGCTAGAGAGAATCATTTATCGATGAAATTAGTGCAAATAGTATTTGTTGGTTTTTGGATTTGTCTACCGTAATCTCCTAAACTCTATTGACAAAGAAATCTTTTATGAGCATGTCTTTGGGGAAAGCTGATCGTCCTTTTAAAGGAAAAAATTCTCTAAATGAGAAGTATTTCATTTAAAAGAACCGGAGAAGTGCTGCCCAAGCAGGGAAATCGGATAGAGGAAGGAAAACGAGCGCCGCCAAGCTTACATGTGGATAATCGACCGGCAAGAGAGTCTCCAAGGATAAGACGAAACCGACAAACATCTGAAATGGTTCACTTTGTTTGAAACATAATTTGAAGTACTAAAGAGATGGTGTTGTCATGAAGGCAGTAAATGCAGAGTTTTTCTTTCAAATAATCGAATTTAACGGAAATTTGTTTACGAACCATGTAGAGACTTTGACCATTCTGAGCCGAACACGATCGCATTCGGCGGTGTGCCCACCGGGAGAACGAAAGCGAATCAACAGGCAAGAGTCGTGGGTAACATCAGTTGAGCCGGATGGATTTCGGGACCTCTTGCGCCTGAAAGCGGAGGAGTTATAAGGGTTTTAGAATTGAAATCCTTTTGTATTTTGTAAAAGTTTATCTATAGTACAGTACTCTGATACTCTGATACTCACCAAAGTGGCGACGATCAGCACGAAGATGCTCGCGGCTCACCGTGTTCGAGCAAATATTTGTCACCAAACATCGCAATCGCCATGCATAATCCCTCCGAACCATCATCGTTACTTGATTTTTTAAAAGCTTATGCTAAACTAGTTTCTTTCCTCCAATCTTATATGTAAATTTTGTAAGTTTTACGATAACTTGCAACACTTAAATCTCTAATAATTCAGCGGTGCCCACGAATCAAGTCCCTTCAATTTTTTCATATGTTGACCGAGCTATTTGAGACAGCCCTGATTCTTTGACACTGGAAAAACATGAAAATAATACGGGAAGTTTTGACTTTGACAATTTGTGATGTGGAATTTGAACTAGTGACTCGCTCCGCAGCTAGAGCGAAACCTCCAATCTGAACAACAACACGACACTCCATGGGGAACTCTTTTGCATTAAATTTTAATCCATCAACCGTGGCGGCTCTTTCTTCACTTCTTCGGAAAATATTTGCACTTTTGATTAGGGGTTTCATTTTCGAAGCAACTTGAAACTCCTTATTAATTTTTCGTTTAGAACCCACCAGCTCCGGAATATCCTTAAAAGTTCAAGTTGTTTGGCAGGCTGGGATGAAGAGAAGCATTGAGACGATGATTGCCGGTGATGTTGCACTGCGTAGGCACCAAAATTGAATTTTAGGGCTTTTATTTGCTTATAGCACTTACCCTTTGGCGAAATATTTCCCAAACCAGGTACCACTCCCGGATTTCTTAACGATCCACAAACAGAGCAGCAAGACAAAACACGAGAACAATGATCTTCGGCATAACTGGAAGAAAAAGGGTTATTAAGGCACCGTAAATACTGTAATAGTACCCCACCGCTATAATAATGATGGTGCGGAGTGCTGCGTAGTCTAGCTTTGAACGCTTTTTTATCAACACTTGTTGATAAAAAAACACGCGTTTTTATCAACGCTTAAATTCGCGCTCAGATATAAAAAAATAGCTGAGATTCAAGGCTATTTTTTGACATTAAAGACGGATTTTGAAAGCACAAGCGCTTTGAAAAAAAATGAAACACTAAAAAACTTTTGCGACTGCAACTACGCGACTTTACGAGGGTACTATTATAGTATTTACGGTAGATATTCGCCTTGTGTTTTCTAAAATGTGTCAGTTTTTGAAAAACTACTGTAACCTTGGTTCTAGTTTCAATCCAGTTCTTGATATCTTTTATCTAATAGTTCTACGTTTTGTCTGATTCTATGAGACGTCAAAAAATCGATTGATTGGATAAAGCTAGAGGCAAGGTTACGATAGTTTTCGAAAGTCAACACATTTTAGAACTTTATTGTGTATTGAATGCGCCAAATAGAGTAAAAGTTCAATTGAACCACCTCATCACCTCGGCAATTGCTCATATCTTTCGTGAAGCATCTTTGTGACGTACCATCCTCTCCCGGAGCCTTCTAAAAGCTTTTTTAGACTTTAAACTTCATTAAAAACGAACCCGCAAGAGAAACCCCATAGTGTCGCCCAGCAGCAAATCAAACAAACCAACATCAACGGGACGGCGAAGAAATCCACGAGATGTAGTTCAACGGAGCGCCGTCCTCGGCGAGGAAGGCTGAAAAGAGTTAGAATGTTCTCTGTTCTTTGTTCTCTTGAGTCATTTTTCTAAAACTTACTTTGTTAATTGCCCAAGCATCGCAAGATTTGAGGGTGTCCCCGTGGCTGTGCCCGTTCCTGCACCGTATTCGCCATGAACAAATCGACAACACAAAACCCGGTGGCCATTTTTTCCACAAGCCAATCGACTGCTAAAATCATTTTTGCGCTGATTTTACCGAAGAAAAGTAAAAGGATCACCGGGGAAAGTACAGGTTATCGATACGAACGCTTCATTACTGGCTTTAAACAGCACATATTTCGGTGTGCTTCGAAAGATTCATTGAGTTGTGAGATGACCGATTGACCGATAGGGATACCATCATCTTTGTTGTATGGCGGTGTTCGAGATGACTGTACTGAAGCGATCGTCATTCAGTTTACGTTATTTTAGCTCTTTTCATTTCTACCTTCAATCAAAATAAAAAATGGCTTCTAACAAATCAAATCGTTAAAATCCTGTTTTCTAAAAATTAGCAACGCCGTTTCTGAACTGCGTTTTCTAAGATGCTATTTTTTAAAGTTACCAAAATTCTTTCCTTTTTTTCTTTATTTTCTTTTTACGTACATTTTCCAAACCCATTCTTTTTTTTTTTTATTTCTTTTTCTATTTCTATCAGAAAATTTTATGTTTTAAATAAATATTTCTTTTTAGAAAACAACAAACAATGGGAACAGCTATAATCCCCGACAAAAGGAGAAGAGCACCAACTACGAATTGCCCGGACAGTTTTTTTTCTGTATATTTCCTTTATTTTAAAAAATTTACCGGGGTTAATTGCTAACATTGATTTAGAGAGAAGTTAAGAAAGAAGAAGTGAAGAAAAGAACAAAAAGAAATGAAACACTTGGGACAACAAAGAATGAAGGGTCAAAAACTTTCACGAATTCCATAGAGTCTCATTTTGTTTTTTCCGTATTAATTCCCGCCGGGTAATAATTTTTCTCTTGGGATTCCCAGAAATAAAATTTTACAAAAGAACAGTGTTGATGTGCAAAGAAGCTTTGAGCTTCTCTTCAAATTTTCCGAAAATCCTGATTGTTTCTTAAATTTTGTATGGATATCTGATAGCTTTAGAAGTTTTGGTAGTGGATGTCTGCCTATCATGTCGAGTTTCAATTTAAGTTACTCTAAAATAGAGAGCTGTTGTGCTGGCTGGCCTGGAAATTTTGACCCTGCCCCTGCTCCATCCATACAAACTCTTTGATCTCGCCCAGGCTCAAGGTGCAAAAGTATTTAGTTATGACCCAAACTTTGTTTCCAGCCCTTTTTCCATGAACTTACCGAAGAAAAGAGATGAACCCAGATGGATTTTGAGTGCGTGAAATAGTGGAGTGAGTGGAGAGGGTATCTTCTTCTGTTTGCCCGACTAGCACTTCTCCATTTTCTCCCCTCAGAACCTTGGCAGAATCTCACTCTTGGCGCCCCATCCCTTTCCCCCTTTTCTTCATCCCTAAATATCGCTGAGTCCGAAATAGATTTTTATTCTGCTCTTTTACGACGGTATCAGGGGAAAAGATGGGTTTGCGCATTTGAAGTCCAAAGTTGAACTTGAAGGAAAAGAAAGGCTAAGGAGTACCAGTAAAGCTGTTCACTACAGTTAAGTGCAGATGAACAATAAAAACTCTCCCAAACTCTATAAGATGCACTTTAGCTCAAATCGATATCAGAACTTCTCATTCTCCTGAAGTTTCCACGTTTCACATTGTCCATATTTCTTTGGCAAAAAAGGAGAAATCCCCCGAACGAATAGCGTGACGAAGGAACAATATCCCAGTGTTTCGGTTCGTTGAATGAATGGATGAGAAAAGGTGCTTCACTTGGCCGAGGACCTTTGAGGCAAAAAGAGGAAAATGACAAACGACCTCAGTTCCAAGAGAACCAGGTGAGGTGAGGAGGATAAGGGAGAGGGACGTCATGAGGCCACCCCAGAGACCACTCCTCCCGAAGAAACATCAGACAGCCCCAGCAGGCCCAGCAAGAGCAACACAGGACCCACATATGATCCCAAGCTTTTTTGGAACCCCAGCTTCTGAGAAAGTCTCAAATTTCCTTGTCAAAACTTCTCCGTTTTCCAAGAGTTCTTTAAGCCAATCAAATTAAAACGATTAAAGGGCAAAAAAGTGAGTTTCTAATAGTGCAATGAAAATTTAGAACACAATTTTAATCTTGACAAGCACATAAAGAGCTTCCCTTTATGAAAGGAGTTTGTTTGAAAGTACTGTACTTTTTCAATATCCTAGAATATTTATTAATCTTCCGTATCTTGAATTTTTCATGACAGATCGGTTACCTTTAAAATTTGAAGCACCCTGTTCTAGTTTTCTTCGTTTCTTTCATCGATTCAAGGCTTCGTTTGGATGGAATTTTCTATTTTGAGAACAGTTGACCCCGGGAAGAAAAAAAAAGAGCAAAGAAGCTTTTCAAGTATTCGCGTTGCACGAACTGATGAGTGAGAAGCTAGGAAATGAGTGAAATGTTTTTGACATTTTTGATGTTCAGCTTATGAGTTGAAACTGAAATCATTCAGTTTTTCAGTTTTGAATCTTAAGATTTATGGTTCAAAAATGGCTCAGATCCTATGTTTTTGTAACTGTCATTATACTTTTGTTTTAATTTTTCGTCAAAGCCAACTCTGATTTTAAGTTTCCCTTTTTTTAAGATCCCGTGCAAGGGGTGCGTCCGACGGCGCGCGATTTTGCAACCCACAAACTTATTTGCGAAAGCTTCGTTACTTTATTTGAGTTATGAAATAATCAAAATATATTTTAAAATTTTTGCTTTTGCGAAACTCTAAACCAAATACCTGATATAACGCGGTGACAATCCTGTGAAACCGGCCATGATCCCGACTCGGTTGACTGCCGACGAGACGGAGCACCGAAGGGCAACTCTGAATGGATAGAATTTGATGTTTTTGATGAAAATAGCTATCAAACTGAATGAACTTCGAAAATAAGAGTAACAACTGGCTGAATACCCTTTATGAAGATCACATTTTTCCACGCTGACCGCCATTATCAAACCGCCGATGAAGAGGAAATTTGTTCCCTGAAATGATTGAAGGATTCGTGATGTTTTATCCTCGAGATATCTACTATATTATTTGTATTTTTAATCACGATTGTTTTCGCAAGTTCATTTAGGACCAATCAACGATTAAACCCCTGCCCCACTCCAGGGTAAACAATCTATTGGAGAAATATGTCTTTTCCGAAAATGAATAAGAATTAGAAAACAGCTTAGCGGGTGGGTGTTTTGAAGTGAGATGAGTGAACCAACAAATAGATGAAGAAGTAAATTGGTACTTACATTTTATATATTCTTTCCGGGTGTTGTTGCAATCCAGAACGCCCGTGAATGGGAGAAAAAAAACAACAGGTAGCATGGCTGTCACGGCAAGGGGCATCACCTGAAATAGATTAGGATAATAGTGTTGATACGAATATTGTTGGTAGATCAATAAAATGAATAGCGCCAATCGATTCGTTAGCCCCGAAAACCCACTGGTACAAATTCACAGCTGAATATCTTCTTTTATTACCAGAAAGCAAACGAAAAATTCCTCTGTGAAAGGTGTTCTTTATTTGCGCGCACAATCGCCGTCATCCTGACAGAGCCCCTCGGCATAAAGAGGTTTCCTTTTAGGAATAGGAAGTAAAGGAATAGAAAAAGCTTCGCCGGTTTGGACATCACCATGAGCCGAATTACGAATCAATTCTTGCCCCAAATTTGGCCCGCATTTTCCTCTAAATTCTGCATCCTGCCCAACCATTGTGTCCCTTAAACAGTTGCTTCGAAATTAAGAGTTTATCCCTCCCCAGGCCAGCCAGCGTCTTGGCTCTGACCCAGCCACTCCCAAGAAGCTCGCTAACTACGAATACCCTTAACTAATCCCCAGCTATATTCTTAGGATTTTACTAGCATTACTTTCGCTGCGCTTTCCCGCTGATTTCAATCCTCACCTCGATCATCCAGTAAACGGCCATCCCGCACCGGCACCAGAAGCGCGCATCAAAAACTCTAAAGTTTTACATTCATTCATCACTTTTCTGATCTTTCAAAAAATTTCCTCCTCATTTTCATTCATTTCCAAAAATTAGCCTTTCCCCTGTTTCCCTGGTCCAACCCCCCAAAATATCCAAATTCCAATCATTTTAGTTCATTTCTTTTCAAAATCACATCACAGAAACATTCTCCCGAAATTCGATGGCGCTCTTTCATTGTCACTTTGAAAAAGAGGTTTGACATGTTTCCGGGGGTTGGAAAAAGTTTTTTAGGGCTTTATATGGAGGAGAAGAGATTGACTCAGCTGTATGGAGTGAGGGGAGGGAATGAGGGGGGGATGGGGGGGGAAGGAAGGCATCACAGTCATCCCTGGACTATGTCGCTTCGAGAGGTTTCTATTTATACAGGGAATTTGACGCGATTTTAAAACTAGCAATGGTGACGAATAATTTTTGTAGCAATTTTGCCTATAATTTTTTTTAAGAACGGATTATTTGAGAAGAACACATTGAAGACATCTTTCCCATTCACTTACAGCTTCACCTGCAAACGATTTTCATCTATATGGGTGAGGGTCGTTTCCCTTTTTTCCCCTTTTTCCCCATTCCCTTTTTGCCCCCGGGAGGTAGTCTCCCACTCGTCGCACGACATCAGAAAGCAGCAAAGAAAGAATGTGGAATGAATGAAGAAACAAAGAATTCTAGAATTCTCTTTTCCTTTCCTCTTTTTTTTTCACTTCCGAGCCTTCGTCTTCTTGTTTTTGTAATCTCTCAGCATTTCGCAATTTCTGTTTTCTTTTCCACCCTTTTTTGATCAAGTTGAACTCAGCATTCCTCCGTCTACTCCATACGAAAGTTAATCAAAAAATCACGGGGATCTTCCAGCTTATAATCTGTTTTCAGATTTGAACAAAAGTTAGTTACAGTAGCTTTTTTGAAAATGCCTTTTAGAGACACATCTTTGAAATGGTGGATTTGGAATGGAATCGGATTTTTTGGAAAGCCACAGTACTTACAGTACAGTCAAAGAAGTACTGTAAGTCACTCCACAGATCGTGATAAATCTTGGTGAAAGAATTGTTTTTAAAGTATCCATTCAATCAATATGTTTGGTATTTCCTATTATTTCATTCATTTTTGCTCATTCGTCATAAAGTCCCTATTGGATTACCAGAGAAATATGCTATTTGATGCAACAATCAAGGAGAATAAGATAAAAGATAAAAAGAAAAGAAATATCCATCTGTCTTTCTTTTCCCTTTTTCCTTGGCGGTCATTTTTACTCTCTCAGCCACAAAGCGATCAAAAGAAATCGAAGGGATTCTTCAAAAAACACCCAAATGGATTTTGGCTTGCAAAGATTTCTTTATCGTTTTCCCATCAAAATCCCTGGAAAGGGCTTGAGGGAAAGATCTTTAAAATCGAACAGACGATAAAAAAACTCTTTTCCCCAAAATCAAACGATTTTCGAAGATAAGCTTCATGAAAAGTTTGTCTGCTTTCGACTACAAGTTTAGACTACAAGTTTTCAGTTGATCGAAGCTCTAGAAAAATGGTTAAAAGGTTAAAGCCGATAAACGAGAATCTTATCAAAAAGAAAGTTTGTCGCGAAATCGATTCACGGAGAGCCAGAGATTCAGGGAGAGTGTGACGGGCAGACGGACGGACCGAAACTTCTCTTTTATATAGTAGCTGAGAGAGATTCAATGATTCTATATCAAATGTCGACTACAAAGTTTTTAGTTAGCTTTGTTTTCAAGTGGGATTTTCGATTGAGGAACTCAGAATCAGTAACGAAAGTTTCGTAAGAAATAAGTAAAAGATTGGTAAACTTTCCCCAGAGATTAAGGTTTGTTGAAGATTCTTTGCGTCAGCCCAAGATTTTGTTCTCCAAAAAAAGGACTCACCCTTTGTCCGTTGATGAGCAAAATATAGAAAAAATCATTGGTGTGAGGAAAATGATTAAAGCTGTAAAAGCTTGATTCGACGCAACAATTGTATCACTTTCTCTTTGAGAGTTGCCTGCAAAACTTTGGAAATTGAATTCATTGAATTCGTGGCTTCATTCTTTTTCCATTAATAACTGAATATCTTATAGTTCATTGACTTACTTGATAACATTCTTGTCGATTCAGGAGCTCTGGCTTCAGTTTCTACTTTTGTCTTGTTAAAGGAAAAGAAATATTAGTAATCAAAGAATTTTCTAGACAATTCTAAATAGATTTCTAGACAGATAAAATCGAGGAATGAAGGGTGTGTTTGTCAATGTGAGATTCTCCGCTGAGACAATGGAATGGTCAGTTTAACCTTTTAAGTCATTTAATGGCTAAATTTTCATTCCTAGAACATTTTCTATGTTCTTTTTTTCTAAAGATCAAACAAAATACCCAACCTCAGTATTAGTGGAATTGACTCGGCTCGACGCCGACTCGAGCATCTTCTGCTGACGGTGATTCTGCAAGTTGGGAAATGTATTGGCTTAGAAAATAGACAATACTCTCATTATTTATTATACGCCTTAAACTCTTAAATTTTTATATGGTCCATTTAATCTTATATTTTAATCCATTTAACTTAATATCCAATTTTACCTGACGAATCTACAACTGATTCCTAGGAGTGACATTCGAATCGGATTCATCTTTTTCAGTCAAAACCTCAAAAAGAGAAACATCAAACAAAAGCAAAGCAGCCAAATGATAAAAAGATAATAAGAAAGTTTCTTGGTGTTAAAAATCTCTTTAGAGCATTCTGACGAGAATCAAAAAAAGAAATTTTTAGAATTCTTGGGTAATCGCATCTTCAACAGAGTAACCGTAGTAATTAACAGTAACCGTACTCAAAAGCAACTGTACCTCGCGCAACTGCACCAAAAGTAACCGATCTGATTTTACTTGAACAGTCGCTTTAATGTGGATAAATCAAAAAAATTTCAAAGCCTAAAGAACTAAAGAACTGAACACCGGTAGTTTGTGCGAAGTGAGAGTCTTTCAAGCCTCATGTAGCCAGCACAAGAAATTACATTAATAGATAGAAGATCGATGAAGAAAGGCCAAGAGGAGGGTGGGAGGGAAAAAAAAAAACTGATTTGAAACGTTTGAAAGATGAAAAGAAAAAGAAAGAAAGTTTTATGGAGAAAAGGAAATCTCCCGCCCATCCTGCTGGATATTTGGGAGGTGAGGCAAGCCCACTGGGTTCAGTGCCAGTCTAACGACGTCCAAGATTTCGGAGTTCTCTAAGGAAATCTTCTTTTCTTATTCTCCTTCTTTGTGTTTTCTTTGTGATCACTAAGTTCTTTTTATATCCGCTCTGCCATTTCCCTATCTCATTGAACTGACACAAATCTTGTTTTATTACTGTATCCTAGCGTCAGGGCATGTCGGTAAAGAAAAGAAAATTTTACAACAGATGAGTGAATTTTAAAAAGTGAGAAATATCAAAAAATTCGGGAGCTATCATCTCGTGATGCATTTTTCAATAATATTAAAAAATTATTCAAGTAACTGGGAAGCTAAAAATGTTTATTTGGAATAAAAACATTCATGGAAAATTTGAAATGAATGAAGAAAAAGAGAGGGATGTCGATGAAAAATCAGACACAGAATTTGAGAGGAGTGAGAGACAAAATTGAAATTACCTGTGTGCGTTGAAGGGGAGGAGAAGAGAGGGAGAAGTTGAGGGCAGGAGTAGTGAGGGATACCACAGCTGCATTAAGGGAAGTGAAGAGATGGGGACACGGGTGGAGGGGTGGGACTCTCTTTTCAGGGGACAGGTGGAGTGCAAAGTGGCTGGCCTCTCTCCCACTCCTTTCCTCACAACAGGCCCCTGAGAGCCCTGGAGCTCTATAGAAGAGGTGAAAAAGACAACCAGATTCATGTTCTTTCACTATAATCCATTTAACCTGTCCTGTTATCTCTCTTTAATGCATGAACCTCTTTCCCTAAAAGTTAAGAGATCGTTCCCTTTACAGTCCAGCCTTGAAAACTACTGTCTAGACAGGAGGGAAATAGACTTTGAATTTCAGAATTCTTGAAAAACGAGAAAAAGACAGATACTTTTGTTCAAGAGGATTGAAAAGAATATATTGAGTATAGACAGGGGAAGAGAGGCACTGGGAATATTCAGCCAGAGAAAAGATCATTCATGTGAGGAGAGAAAGGGAAAAGAAAATCGGCAAATAGTAATTGACACAAATTAACAAAAGAAAAGACAGACGAAGAAACGACAAACGGTTGGAAAATAGATGGAAATAAGAGAGAAATCGAATATCTGCTGAAGAAAAAGGGTGAAGTTATGTTTTCTCCTCTTTTTCGTGAATACCTTGTATTACTTCGGGGTCGATGAGGAGAGGTGAAAGAGGCCCTAGCACCTTCTTTCGCTGGTCTTTCTCCATTCTCCTCTCCATTCCTCTCCATTCCTTTCTCCATTCCTTTCCTCATTCCTTTTAAATTCAATCTTCTCGCCATTCACTCTAGATTATCCAAAAACCCACAAAATGTCAGTCAGGCAGAATTCTGAAATTGAAAAAAGGAAGGCAGAAACTAGTTTTACCTGAAATCATGGGGGTTTAAGTCTTTTTTGGTTAAGAAAACTTCTTTTTGGATTAAGTTTGGGTATGGATAAAGGCCACTGGCAATGGGATAAATTCGGAAATTCATTGTTGGCAAAGGGAAAGTTGATAGCATATAGCTTAGGGTTCACGCGTGCCTTAGTTCAATAGATGCAAAGCAACTATCGTTTCTTTAGACTTCAGATGCAATCAACTTCATGTCGAGATTCCCGATACAACGTGAATTTGAAATTTCCCATCATGTTCTTTTTAGCCCTGCAGTTGCTTGTCTTCTTCAAATGCAATCAGTGGTCGTTCAGGGCAGCTACGCAGAAATTCGGAGGCACTTTTAGGTTCGTTCTATCGAAGTTTCTGGTCCCGAGCGTATTCGTTATATCGGAAGTTCGACTGTAATAGCTTTTTAGCTTTTAGCTTTTAGTCATTCGGAGGAAAACAGGATTTATTGTATGTTTGTAAGTTTTATCGTGAAAGTGAAGGCTTTTAACTGTCAAGTGGCTAAAACAAAATCCGTTTGTTGGAGGGGAAAAGGACAAAAGTGAAATGCTCAGCCAGACAAGCCAGATCATGGAAAGAGATGGTGAGAACGAGAAAACGCGAAATAGAAAAACCGCTTTTGTTTTGTTTTGCTTCAAATTAAATATTCAATAAATGAACAAATTTATGAAATCAAAAATGCTTTTTCATTTTTGTTCGATGCCTTGACATTTTAAAATTTTCAAACATTTTTATTAGTCAAAACATTATTGCGGGACAAAAAAATCGAACAAAATCTCGAGCAATAGGCGATTATAAAGCGACAAAGAATGTTTGAAAATTACTCTAAAATTATCAAGAATACTTAAAAAACATTCAAATATCTCAACTCGATACGGATTTAATTTTTTAAAAAAATGAGAGAAGAATCGTCGATATGAAAAATGGGATAAAATGGAATTGGATTTATCATTTGAGCAACTTTTTTGCACTAGAGCTTTTCTCTGCTATTTCGTTTCCAAAACGCAAAGTCCTTTAATGTAACCCCCATTGAAGATAAAGCTATCGCAATCGCAATCCTCTAATACGACGGCGGTAGCTTTTAAAATAAATTAATAATGTTTCCTTGAATGAATTATTTGAGAGAGAAACACACCTAATTTGGCACCTGGATCAGCCATAAAATAATGATCTTGTTTACAGTAATCTTCCTTATTGATAACCATCTCTAATCGTCTGTTCGGAGTTGTGATTGATGGAGTTGCTTGTGAGGTTGTCTGAAAGGGATCTTACATAAAAAGCTCATTAAAAAGAATAGGTTTTCAGGGGTAATATTTTTGCGCTAAAGTTAAAGCATCAAGTTATCAAGTATTAAGTTTCATACTTTTGTTAATTGTAGGGCTTACAAATAAAGTAAGAAATCAGGCCAGGTTTCTTGGCAGGCCTAGTGGGCCAGGCAATTCAGAAGGATCACTTTGAGATCAGCGTCTGGCTTTTAACCTGCCATTTCCTTTGAAACAACCCTCATTGGGGTTATCTGTAATCGTATTAACCTGGCCCAGCACAAGTAAAGACTTCAGAGCTGCTCCAAGTCCGACTCTTTTGTCTGAAGTTAAGGAATTTTTTTAGTGACCTGAAACTAGAAGCCTGGTACTATACATTTATATGTGCAATTGAGAAAACCAGCCTCTACATACAAAAAACTGGCAAACATATGCCACTTCTCTCGCCAGATGACCCCCCAACATTCACACACAATCAATTGAACGCCTCTTTTAGGGAGCGGCAAAATGGTGAAATAAAAACGAAAACAAAACATCTAAGTTGGTCCTTTTTCGCCGTTGGTAATTTAAGGGTTTTTAAATGTTTTTCTCAGCACCAACCTTTCGCTTATACTATTTTAACTATCACTCGATGCAGAATAAAATTGCGCGTTGAATGATACCAAAATGAACTTAAAATGTAATATCCATGCAAAGTTATGAGGCAAAAGGTTAAGCCCCACTCATGATCTTATGGTGTGTTTGTTTTTGTCCATCATGATTGAGTGTTAAAAGCAAATTTTAAATGTAATTTTGTTGGCTCTTAGACTCTTATCTTGTCTTCTTTCTTCTAACCTGATCATTGCCTTATGTAATTGTGTTTACTAATTTCGAACTCACATAATGATCGTCGACGCTTTCACGGTCAGATTTGCTGATACTCGTCCGATATTTCATGTCACTGTTCGATTTCTTCCGGCGTATCGTCTGAAATGATCTTTTTTAAGTTATTCCTCTTTTCTCTTAGTCGTTACCTTCATGAGTATTTCCTTAAACGATGGATTCAGCCACGCATAGAGAATCGGATTCGCGACGATTGTCAGCATCGCAAAACTAAACAAAAATTTTTTGTCTAAATATTCAAATCTTGTAAAACCTATGCGTGACAAGGCTGAAGAAATACTCATAATTGATCGTTTCTCTCATAAAAAAGATCCGTATCAGCATAATCGACAAGAAGAGTGAATAAATTATATGGAAGCCATGTACCACCGAAGAGTAATACCTGAGATTTATTGATAAAAAAGATATTTGAAATGATTTGGAAGGGGTAGCTCTAAAGCGTGTCCAAACTACCGTACCCAGACTCAGAGCTTGCCATGAATGCTTTCTTGGGGTAGACTAATTTTCGCCAATTTTGTTTGCGACAACTGGGTATTACTGTAACTCGCCATAACTTTCTTATAAGTCACAAATTTTTTTGATTCTGGTTTCATTTTGTAGATCTCAATAAGTGCAACAAAATAAAACCAAAATCATAAAGATTGGTTCACTTAGAAAAAAGTTATGGCGAGTTGCGCAAACTACCCAGTTGTGCGAAAAATTTGTCGCAAAGTAGCCTACCGCTGCTTTTTAAATTTCGGGTTTTCTAGTTGGGTTACACGCTTTAACTTCTTTTTTTTCTTAATTGAAAGCTTTTTAAATGAAAGATAGAAACTCTAAAAGTTACCATTGATGCGAGAATTGTTGTCGTTCTTCTCTGTTGCATGACAACAGTCAATCGTTGTTGATACTCAAAGCTTTCATTACCATCACCGATTTGTTCCTAAATATTTTGTTAGATTTAATTCTAATTTTAAAGTTTTGATCATCCATAGTTGCTGAAGGAAACTTCTAACTTCAACTTTTCACTTTTTTACCTGTGGTATACTCGTTTCCAACAGTTGACTCCGCTCAGTCAATTTCTTCAATTTCACCGCACATCTCTATAAAAACGTATTGGAGTTATTTGTTTTATTTGTTCTTCATTTTTACCTCTTTCAACACAGAGAATATCGTATAGTAACAGACGGCCATTGTGGCGAATGGGAGAAGGAATTGAGTGGTGAGAACGAGAAGAGCATAACCACGTTTAACATCAGGTGATGGCCAAGTCTCCGAACAGTACTGTAAAATGTTTTAATGAAAAGATAAAATTGGAAAACCCGATCTAAAATCTAAATATGTCAAAATTTCGAAAGATACCGAAATCTTGGCTTTTGAAAATTGCGTATAAACAAATGAAAACGATAGGTGGCTTAAATAAATGAACTGTTTTAGTAATAAAAAATGTTTTAGTGGCTTAAATAAATGAACTCAAAATGTTAACCTCTTCACAAATCCGGGATATGTTTGGATTTCCATGTACCATCCATATGGAAGACAAACGACAACCGAAACAACCCAAAGAATCGCTGCCACAAGACAAGCACCTGAAAATATGATTCGATTTTCCTTTCACTTTCCTCACCTCTCGTATTCAGCGGATGTGCGTGAGGGCGAACGACCAAATTGTAGCTGAAAAATCGAATTCTATCTCAGATATGTAGATACAAAACTTACCGATCAAGCGCAATCGCTGATAGAGAAAATGTGGAGACGAAAATCGAGATTCCCTGAAGATTAAAGAAATCTTTTTTGATGATTTGATGATTTTGAAATCTTCTCACCTGCACCATTGGTAGAAGATGACAGAATGGCGACCCGAAATACCACACTTTGTAGATGTTCGTGACAAGTGTGAATGGCATCGAAAGAAGACAAACGATCACATCGGAGAGTGCCAGATTCAGGATGAACATGTTTTGAACCGTTTGTAAGTGACGATGCTGGAAATGGGGGATTCATGGAGAATTGTTTCTAATAAGATAAGGGAAAGTTGTACTTGACTAACGAGATAAACAAACAGCTAACAGGGAAAGCTGGCCTTTTGACTTCAGACCAAGTCCATCTTATAGAGTCGACCATAGGATCTCGACTTAGTTTTTGCAGATATCTAGATTTCGGTCTCCTTAAGCTGTCAAACGGTCTGGCGGCAACTGTCTGACTGGTCTATGGATAGTCTGCTGGGCTCCCGAGCCTTTCACCAATTCTGCCCTCAAGTTCGAATCCCACTCCCGCCAAACTCTTTTGCAGTTTTTAAAAAAATTGTGAAGCGTTGTGCAAAAACTAAAAACAGATTCGAGATCTATGGTCGACTCTATAAGATGAATTTGGTCTCGAAAAGGCCTTTCCTTTGTAAGCAAATGAAGAATTTTCTTTGTTCTTTTCACCCACCTTCAATGTGAGATAAATGACAGCCGTATTCCCAATAAGACCGAGGGTGAAAATGTTGAGATAGATGAAGACAAAAATGGCGACGATCACTGGGTGATTTGTGGGATCGGGTTGAGTGGAAATCGCGACACATTGAGTGGAGGAGGAGGAGTTCATCTGCAAAACAGGAATCGCTTATTTCGTTACAAGATTTCATAGATGTGTTAGGTTAAATGTTAAATGGTAAGCTTAAATTACAGTAATACAAGTAAGATTCCGGTGGCTTTCAAAAGCTGAGATGTTTGAGAAAATCGAGAGAAATGAAGAAATAAGATGATAGCTAGAAAATAGAATATGTGGGCGTACAAATTGTTTTGATATTTTCGAAAGCTCTTTTCCGAAATCCAATCCCCTCGATTTTAATGGGAACTTCAGTACAAATCCGCCACACAAAACACAAAAAGGAGATCTCGGTGCCCTCGAATTTTAAGAAGTTTTATCTCTTTTTTTTGTTCTTTTATCCAGCTAATAATGAAATGTGAGTGTTGAGTGGAGAATGGGGAAAGAGAAACGAAAGAGAAACGAATAAGAAACGAATAATTAAATCCCAATTTATTTCTCAAAAAACAAAAGATTCTTTGACTTTTTGCGATAAAGGAATCATGACGAAAGAAGGGTATTTTGAATATTTTGAACGTTGAAAAATGCTGTAATTGCTGAGATGAGATCTTTTGAAGTAGAGTAGTAATGATAAGTAAATTGATAGCTATTTATTAGTAATGATAAGTAATGATAGCCAATTGATAGCTAGTAAGTAGTAAGTAGAGTAGCAATGATAACCAATTGATAGCTATTTATTCAAGAAATTTTATATTCAACTAATATTAAGGGTTTGTTTAGCTTGAAAAGATAATATTGTTGTTTAAAACGTTTTCTGAAAACTATTGTATTCTTTTCCATAAGTTTTAACAAGTCTCTATCCAAAAACAGACTACGATAGTCTTCGGAAAACGAATCAAACAAAGATAAAGATAGTCGTTTATCCGACTCATTCACTCTTGCACTCGAACGGCCGTTATGAACAAAATGAACGATGAAGTAAGTGAATTTTCGTCGATAAAATGAGATAATTTTAGCGAAAATCGAATCAGATAAAAATTACAATAAAAATGCAAAGAAAACTCGAATTTCGACTTAGATTTCTCTATTGAAAAAGTTTGAAATTGAAATAAAAGAAAAATTTCAGTTGGTTTGAAAAAATGATTCTTTTCCTTTTCTCAGACACTAATTTCCTAGCTTTTCGCTTTTTATAACCGGTATTTGAAAATAAAAATGACGTCAAAATGAGTATTTTTAAGAAAATTGCTTGATCTCTTAGTTTCAGAAGACCAAGTCTATCTTTATCTTTGTTAGATTCGTTTTCCGAAGACTATCGTAATCTGTATTTGGATAGAGACTTGTTAAAACTTATGGAAAAAAATACAATAGTTTTCAGAAAACGTTTTAAACAACAATAGCCGGTATTTGTCGGTTATACATCCACAGAGAATCCACAGACTCAACTCGGTTAAGCAAGGAGGTGACAACCTGTGAGGGGTGATTACCGTAAATACTGTAATAGTACCCCACCCCCATAATGACGGTGCGGAGTGTTGCGTAGTCTAGCTTTGAACGCGTTTTTCTTGACACTGGTTTATGCTACAATGCTCGATTAGGTATCAAAAAATAGCCCTGGATTTCAGCTATTTTTTGATACCAAAGACGCATTTTTTGAAAATACGGGCTCTTTGAAAAAAATGAAATACCAAAAAACTTTTGCGACTACGCGACTGTACGAGGGGTGGGTGGGGTACTATTACAGTATTTACGGTATGTTCATTGAAGTAGAGTGCTCGCCTGAAGTGATCAGTCGATCAGTCGAACGAAAATCGATAACCGAGAAGACTCGTATGGGGATGCTTAACCGAGATAAGTCTTTGTGGATGTATAACCAACAAGGACCCAATAGCCAATATTGTTCTAATAAAGCAAAATTTCGTAACAATGAGATAAGGTTCATTTCAAAAATTTCAAGTTTTCAACTTTAATGCCAAGATTGAGTGTTTATACACAATTTAGGGGATAAATAACTAATTCAAATATAAATGAAGTCAGTTGCACGGGAAATGCGGCAAAGAAAAGAGAGATGCAAATTGATGGAAAGTGAATAATTTTAGTGATTCTTTTCCGCTTGTCATTAATCGAAATGATGATGGGAATCGTGGGGGAAGTCAAGAGGAAATGATGGGGAAAGTCAAGAAAAAACATTGCTTCATTGGGAGAGTGGATGGGTCCATGTGCATTAAAGGATCGAAAACAAAAATAATCGCCTTGTTTCAGCTTAAATTTCTTTCGTTTTCTAAATTGCAGAGTGTCCGGAAAAAAAGTGATCATCTTTTTTTTGAGTTGAGTTTGGAAAAATTTTCTCGTTGATTTTTCAAAGCTCATCGTGGTGTTAGAATTGATTTTGTCTTAGGCGTCACACAACAAGATCAAGTTCATTTTTTTTGATGCTTTTGTGAATGCATCGACCGGGGAACTCAAAATCCAAAAGGAGAATGAATCTCCTCAGATTCGGACGTCCGGCTCGGAGATGGACGTCTCCTCAGATACGGACGTAACATATACATGAATTTTGAGGTCCCCGGCTGATGCATGAGCTCCGATTCACAAAATCATCAAAAATGAACTTGAACTTGTTGTGTGACACCTTAGGCAAAAGCAATTCTGAAAGCAGCCTTGAAAAATCAACGAGCAAATTTTCCCAGACTCAAACCGATGACCAATTTTTTTTTCGGTATTAGTCTTATTTTTTAAAATCTTTTCAAAAACTAAGCCAGCTTTTAGCGAAAACGTTCAAATTTTTCGAGATCATTTTCTAAAATTTGTACAGCTTTTTAGCAAGATTGACTAAAGGATTATGGATTGGACTAAAGGATTGACTAAATTTAGAATACCGTATTCTCTCTAATAATAGTGCACTCTTTAATAGTAGTGCACTCTCTAATAGTATTGCGGTCCGAGAGGGGGTTGAAAAAATAGTAGTGCACCCACGAGAATTTGAATTTCTGGTGCTTCTTTTTCATCTAAACCTTTTTAACTTTATGTTTATGTGACATTCTAAAGCTATTCAAGCAAGCAAAAGTGAGGCTTTTTTATTCATTTATTAACTATTCTTCACATGAAAAAGTTAGCAAAAAAATCTAAAATTGTTGTGCAAAGGGCAAAAACATTTTTTTGTTGTTTGTCAACACACAAATTGTCAACTCGCCGGCCCACAACTGTATGTCAAAAGGAGCCAAAGGAGTACGTTGCAAGAGTACAAAAGAGTTGCAAGAATTTTTGGAACAAATCTTATATCTGTCTTACTTTGGTAAATGATAAAACTCTTTAATAGTAGTGCACTCTCCAATAGTATTGCGGTCCAGGAGGGGGTTCAAAAAATAGTAGTGCGCACTACTATTAGAGAGAATACGGTATTCACCATTTCTACAATATCTACAATCTACAATATTGTAAGAAATATATGTTTATGTTTTGATCTATATAATTTCTTGTGAGACCGTGTCTCGGTAGGGTTCAATAGTGGTCTTCTTGAAAACGCACAATTTATCCAACTTTCCCTTATTAGGGCAACTTCGCTCAAACTGGAGCAACCTGGCACTGTCACAATTAATTCAACACTTGAATGTGGAAAAAAAGGATGAAAGATAGCAAAAAGAGGAGAACAAACACTCACTCAAAAGCAAAGCTTAAATAACGGGTTTTTTTAAGTATACAAGCTACAACAAACGGACAGCTGAATATCGTCTAGTGACTGGTTACGGTAGTTTATCCATCAAATTTGAATTTTAACTTGTGTATTGAAGTTTTGACTAACTGCAGAGCAGTGGCAATTCGCCACAAATATCTACAATCTACAATATCTACAATCTTATCTACAATACGATGCTTTACATAATTTATAGCTCATGTAAAACTAAAGATACAAAGTTCGGCCAAAAAAAAAAATGCAAGTTCAACTATTACCAACAAAACCCCAAACCCTGGAATAAAGGAGAAAAAGTGGCGAAAACTTTAAAATGATCAGATCTATTTGAAATTTCCCTCTACGCAAAGATCCAATAAAACATTTTTCTCTAGAAATAATTAAAATTTTTGCGTTTTCTCGAAAAACCCCAAACATTCATTTGGCGGGTTTTAAGGCTTTCTCTGTGAACTAGTGCAAAAATTGCGCATCCAATTAATGATTTCTAAAGGAAAAAAAAACTTTCGCCAAAATTTCTTATTTAGAAAATGAGATTTTTGAGCTCAAAGATCTTGATTTTAAAGAGAAAAAGAGAATGGAGAAAGAGAAAGAAAGAGAATTCGAAAAAGAGAGAGAAAGAGAATTCAAAAAAGAGAAAGAAAGAGAATTCAATGAAAATCAACAAAACGATAATTGAGCCAATGAGGAACTCTTTTTTTCCAGCACCTGTTTAATATAGAAAGGAAATGGGAATTAAAAAAATTTGAGTACTAGAAAAATCTTTTAATTGATCTTTTTTTTAAAATCAAATTAGACACAATACTTTCTTTCGTTTTTTTTTTTCAACCGATTTCTGATGGCAGAGAAATTGAGGGATTAACTTTTTTGGTTTGCGGAAAGGGGAAATCGAATGAGATTCTTGATTTTCGTGTAGTGGCCATTTACAAATGATGTATATTGACTTTGGCATTACGAAATTTTATCGTTTCATTGAAGAAATGTCTTTTTTTGTTATTAGAAAATTGAATTGGCAAAGATACTCTTGATCATTTTATGCAAATTGATGCAAATTTCATGCAAACAATGTGTCACCAAAAAAAGCGTGAATGAAATCGACAAGTACTCGATTCTTTTCCTTTTAGAGCGCAAAAATGATACTCTAGGCGCTCTAGATTGTTAATGTCCCATAATATAAGCTTGATTTAGCTATCGAGAATGGGCTGGAGCCACGACTGTTTTTTTCAACCGATTTCTGATGGCAGACAAATTGAGGGATTAACTTTTTTGGTTCGCGGAAAGGGGAAATCTAATCGGATTCTTGATTTTCGTGTAGTGGCTATTTACAAATGATGTACACTACTGGACAATGAAATATCATCTTTGAAAAACG